GGAGGTGCCTGGGCTTGGAGCCCTGGTCCTGGCAAAAGCCTGGGCAGAAAGTGAGGCAAGTGGCATAGGGAAGGCTCAGACACCCCTGCTACTCCTCCAAGTGGGCTGGTGGCAGACAGAGGCCAGAGAGGGCAAGGAACAGTGAGGGCATCTTGGGGACCCAGCCTGTGAGGCAAGGACCCAAGCCTGGACAGCCTTCCCTTGGCACTTGGAAGCCAACCACCTGTGACTCTGCACATTAATACTCTGTCTGACCAGCACTCCCATCAAAACCCCTGCTCCTGCCTGATCAGTGGCCCTGAGCACACCAGCACACTCTCTGGCCTCAGTTTACTCCTCTGGAGGTGGTAATGCTCACCTCTGCCCTGCCCTGTGGTCAGTAAACCCTTCTGAGTCAGGGTGCCCTCCCAGTCCAACCGACAGTGCCAAGAGCGCCCTCCTGGCCCCTCTGCAGCCCTGCCGAGAGAGGCCAGGCATGTTCGCCCACTCAGCACAACCTGGGAGCCGCGCCCAGCGGTTCCGCTCCTTGATTCTTGTTGTAAGTTTAAAAGAGTCTAAACCGCACCTTTGCAACTCTGGCTTGCCAGGAGCTAGGCCCCGCGCTGAATCTCTGAATGCACGCTGTCTGCCAAAAGAAGGATGCACACTCAGGCGAGGCACGACCTCCAGAAGCTGCAGGGACCCTCCAGCTGCTCTGGCTCCGCCAAGCGGAGGGTCGAGGATGGAGGCGTCTGACTGGGCGTGTGATGCATGAGGTGCCAGAACTCCACACGCCGCAGTGCGCGCACACAGGGCCTGCGCCCTCTTTCTTGTTGGGGTGTCACAGAGTTTGGGGAATGGAGAAGACTGCCGCCCAGAGAACGAGGGCGGTGGCGTGGGAACGGGGACGCGTGGCCGAACTGGCGCTGTCTGGTGCTGAACGTGGCGCAGGCCGTAGCCCTGTGAGCCCCGGAGGGGACGCGCTGTCCGCGGTGCTGCCGACAGTCCTCCGCGCAAACTGCGCACAGCTGCCGGCACCCGGAGCCGCCTCCATCCCCGCCACAGGTCAGCAGCCGCGCTCCCTCCGTTCTCTGGTGTTCTCAGTGTGTCGTTCCCTTTTTCGAGGGCTGAGAGTATCTCTTAGAGAAGATAGATGGCAAAGTTAGGCAGAACGTCCCTTGCCTTTTCCAGACTCTAGACTGCAACAGGGTGTACTGCTGCCCGCAGCTGCCAAGGGGATCCAGGGGTGAGAGAAGACGCATGGGAGCGTCGCTCCCCTTGCCTGTCTCTCCTTCCTCCGTCCTCCACACAGGGAGACCACAGGGAGATCTGGTTTGCACTCAAGAAATCAGAACATTTATTTGGGGGATGATAGTCCCCGCTCCGAATATCTACATGGAGGCTGATGAAATGCTGGGTGGTTTGGGGTGGTGTGCAATTTGCATAAGGCAAACTCAAGGTGAAGTGCTACCCTTTCAGCCCTTCACAAAGCACCCTGAGAGACAGAAGAGAGGGGGAAAGTCAGCACCCCGACCCCATGTGCAGAGTGACCCATTTGGCCCATCAGGGGCAAGTAGAGGGATCTTGGAGGTCATGTGGAATCCAACCCCACAACTGACAAAAACAAATACCTAGGAGGGGTCATTAGACCAGGATGAGCTGGTGGCAGAGGTGGGCACTCTCCCTCCTGCTCATGTCCCCCAAACTTCAGAAAGCTCTGATGCTGGGGAAAGGATGTGGGAGATTTCAACCTCACCCATCCCCTTTCCCAGGTTCACTTCTAGGACCTCTTGCCAACAGTTCCTCCCCCTACATTTCTACCCTTACCTCATGTCTGTCCCTGCCTCAGAGCCCATCTCAGTCCTCCATCCTGACCAACCTGCCCTGGGTGTGGGCTCAGCAGTGAAGGAGCACAGCCGAGGTCAGTAGTGTTCCACCAGCAGCAGAGGAATCTCCATTCCAGACACAGATTTCACCTGCCTGACCCAGCTGGGGTGCCACAAGTGAAGCTGGTGGCTTGGAGGTAACCCTAGATGGCAGATTGCACAAGTGAGGGTCCAATTGCCAATCAGTCACAATTTGGAGTGAAAGAACTTCTCTACAGCCCCAAAGTTCCAGGCCGAGAATGGTCATTTCTGCAGATCTGGGAGAGGAGAGGGTACCAGCCATCTCTGAGGCTTGGGTTGTTCCTCAGAGATGGGGATTGTGGGAGTGACTATCACCATCCCCTCTCTGAGCTTTGTCCACATGCAGCAGGCCCCTCGCAAGAAAAAACACAGGGGCTGTGCCATCTAGGTCCTGCCCTTCTCCTCTGAGCCATTGCCCTGCTGTGGCTCCTGTCAGAACACTGAGGGATAAAGAAGAGAGGGGTGGGAAGGATGGTGGAAGGGATTGAGGACAGCACAGTGGATTTTTGTCTAAGTAGTACTCAACCCTCAGCACCCCGCACCCAACAAAGGGAGCCTCTGAGGGTGCTTGAGTGTGTTTGGTGCCATAACTTATTTCATTTCACTCACTATAGATCCCATCAACATCTTGTAGTAGATTTGCTGTTTTAATGGTAGTCATCACATATTACAGTACATCTGCATCACATACAGCATCGTTTTCCATGAATGTTCTTTGGAATGAAAGAGGACAGGATGAGTCCTCTCAATTCCTGACTTGCAGGTGTCTAGTGTGTGGGGAGGTGAGATCAGACCCTGGCCAGCCACACACACCCACTATGGTGTGCAACCGTGGCTGCTGTTAGATGTTTGGCCAATTTTGATCCTCACCTAGTGACCTGTGCTAGTGACAGGCACTTTGTGTGGTGTGTGTTTGCAGGGGTGTGATGCTCTGTCATTCTGAGTCTTGAACACCCTAAGTCAGCTCAGAAGTACTTGGTACTTCTGCCCTGCCCTGCCCTCCCCAGGGAATGCTCTCTCCTCCACTAAGAAGCCTTGCCTCCCTGGGGAGCAGAGGAGAAGTTGGGACTTGACAGAGGTCCTGGGTGCCCTCCTCACCCAAAGAGTTAAAAGAATCAGAGAGGTGATCCTGCCAGGACCTGTGGTGGCTGGAGGGAGAGGGAGGGATGCCAGGGACTTGTGAGCCAGTGCCCCGCTGTGTGGATCTGGGTTCTCATGAATGAATTCGTTCCCGTGTGCTGCATGCTTGTCAATGAGTGTGTGTGTGTGTGTGGGAGAGAGAGAGAGAGAGAGAGAGAGAGAGAGAGAGAGAGAGAGAGAGAATATGGGGCGTGCACATCTATATTCAAACAGCTGGGGAGGGGGAGAGAGGAAGACCAAGGTGGGGGTGGGAAGGAGATAATTACCTCCCTGAGATGAGAGATTACCCACCTCCTTCCCTAGAGGTGATTTATAATTTAAAGATAAAGAATAATCAAGTCCTGGCAAGGAAGGACACAGTGTTGTGGGTCTGATTAGAATCTCTGGATGGTCCAGCAGCGGGGAGGGCGGAGGGGGCGGGGAAGGGAGAAAGGAGAGGGAAGACCCGGGCCTCCCCCGGCCCCAGCCTCTCTGAGGCTCAGCAAGTCCGAGCATGGTCCAAATTACAGCCGATCGGTCCCCCATTATTTCTCCCAACTTTTAATTTCTGCTTCCGAAGGATCATTGCCCGCGGTAATTGCAAAGGACCCGTCCTTGTGAGCGGAACAGACTCCGGGGACCGCAGCGGGAGGAGGCGCGCACAGTCGCCGGAGCACTCGACCGCGCGTTCACACCCTGCACCCGCGCGCGCGCCACCGCCGGCTCCCATCTGGGTCCACAGAGGCGGGTCGGCTTGCTGGCGGGCTCAGGAGGATAGAGACACGCCGGGAAGTACCCGCCATCCCGCGCTGGGACCGGGAACGCAGGGCTCAAAGCTCAGGGCCGCAGGGCCAATGCTGCAAACGTCGCCGTTGTGGACGCAACGTGCACAAGTACTCGAGCCGCAATCGGCCTTTCCTCACTCCTTTAGACGTGGGAAAGGGGCGTCTGCGTCTTATTTCTGGACGAAACACGCGTGTTCCCTTACTTGAGGGGCATCGGTTGTTGCGTAGGCCGTCTGCCGTTTGCCTGATCTTTCGGTACCCCTTTTGGGGGCCGAGGGCAAGAGAACTGTCCAGCCTTCTTGGTTTTCGATTCCACTTATGACGAGCGACCCCGGGGCCGCCAGCCCCGCCCCTCGCGGGGACTGGGCCGGCCCTAATTTGACAGCGCAAAGGGGGCGGGCGCCCGCGCGGGAGGAGACCGAGGGGCAGAGGCCTTGAGCGCGAGAAGCGAGAAGCAGCAACCCGCGGCGCGACAGAGACTCGTGGAGCCTGCGGGAAGGGGCCGAAGGCCCACAGAAACTCAGAATCCGCGCCTGAGCCGCCCCAGGGGCCCGAGCCCAAGGGCCTGTGAGCCGGGCCGGAGGAAAGGCCCTTCCCGGTGCCGCATCCTGTGCGGAATGTCCCGGCCAACTCCTGGCTCGCCCACCCGCGTGCCCCGGGGCCTCCGCGACCCCTCAGCTGCCGACTGACCCCTCAATTATTTAAAAGCTGGAGCTGTCTCCTCCCCCTTCGCGGAGGAAACAGGCGTGCCCTTTCCAGACCAGCGGAGGCGCAGCGACACGCTGCTGACCGCGACAGCTGCCGGCGAACTGCGCTCCGGCTCTGGGCAGCGCGTCTGTCGGTCCCGCCCGGAGGCTCGATCCGTGTGTCCCGCGCGGGGCCCGCCTCCTCCGCCCGGGACCGTTCGCAGCCAATTAGGCGTGCGCGCTAACGAGGGCGGCGGAGCCCCGCGGCCGCCTGCGGGCGCACGTGTGTGCGGCGTGTGGACGCGTGGGCGCCTCCGGCGGGGCCGCCATAAATGCGCGGGCCGGGCGCGGCGGGCGCCTGAGGCGGCAGAGGCAGCGCCAGGCAGTACCGGCGGAGCGGGGCGCGGCGCCGAGAGCAGCGGAGCTGTGGCCGCCCGCGCGGGCCAGAGGCGGCTCCCAGGCCGCCAGAGATGGGAGCCCAGTAGGCGGCGAGGCCCGAGCCGCCGGAGCGGCGGGAGGCCGGCATGAGTGCCAGCGGCACGGCCGCTCCTGGGGACGTCCCCGTGCTGCCGCCGCCGCCGCCGCCGCCCGGGCCCGGCCCGGGGCCCGCACCGCCCGTTCCCGCCGCAGCTTCCCGGGACGCTATGGACGGCCGCGCCGAGCTGCCAGCTTTTCCCCGGGCCGGTGCCCCTCCGCTCGCGGCCAGTGACACTGTGCCCGCGGGGCCCGAGGCTGCTGGAGCGGCCCGGCCCGCCGCGCCCCCACGCCCCACCTCCTTCTCGGTGCTGGACATCCTGGACCCCAACAAGTTCAACAGCAGGAGACGCCGCTGCCTGCTGCTGGGCCCCGTAGCTCCCGCGGCGTGCGCCCCGTGCGCCTCGGCCCCGTGCGCCCCGGCCCCCGCCGCCTCCGGACGCCCTGCGCGCACGGAGGAGCTGGAGCGCCAAGCCCTGGCTGCCGCCGGGGGAGTCGGAGCTGCCACCGGAGCTGAGCCGCCCAGTGAGTAGGAAGGGCCGGCGCCCGATCGCGGGGGCAAGGGGACCTGCCGCTGCTGTGTGTTTACGCTCCTGGGACCCCAAGACGAACTAGGCCTGGCTGGTGGCCCGGGCTGGGTGGAAAGTTCGTAGAGCGCGGGGTCCGCTTCCGGACCACCCGCGGCCTCCGTCCGACGCGGACTCCAGGGCCCACGCTGCCCTGCGCCTAAGGGAAGGCTCCGCGAGGCCAGGCTCAGGGCCTGCGGGGCTTCAAGGCCTCTTCAGGGCTCACTTGTGCGCGTCTCTGGCCTTGGAGGGTGGTTGGTGGTGGAGGCGGAGGAGAGGCGCGTAGCGGCCGGCCTGTGACCTCCCCGCCCCCACCGTGGCCGCCGAGGCCTGCCGTCCTCCCTCGTCCTCTTTCTCTCTCTCTCTCTCTCTCTCTGGACAAATCAGACTAATTGTGACAAAACGCTGGTTATCTCTGGAAAAACAATTAAATCCCTTCGATTACAGTTAAGGGGAAATGTGCTTAGCGGCGGAAAGCGGCCGGTAATGGGGCGGCCCGCGCCCCCGGTCCGGTCGATATCCCATTACGGCGCATGCATATCTCTTTCAAGCACCTTGCAAACTCCCCCCGAACATCTAAATTATAGGGTCAAAATTCGGATAATTACTCGATTAAAACCTATTACACTTATTAGGGGCCGCTATTGATCGTGAATTGCATTCGACCCGCTCCTGATTGCTTTTTGTGTCCCTTCTCCCGCCCTTCCTCGCTCCAACTTCCCGGCCCCTGGGCCTCACAGGGAGGAGAGGGCTGGGGCTTCGGGCTCCGCAAGAGGACCGCCTGCTGCTTCGGCACTAGGCTTCTTTCCTATAGGTGGAGGTGGAGGGGGTACAAATCCCGGTGGCTGGAGGGTGACCCCGAAGGCTCTCCCAGGGGGGCTGTTCTGGAAACAGGGCCCAGGCTTTAGCTGTGCCAGGAGGGAGCAGGCTCGCTGGGAAGGGGAGCAGGGACAAACCTGACTGGCAGGGTCTGGGAGGGCTTGGGAAACCGCTCCTGCCCCTACCCAGGCTTTCTAGTTGGGAACCAGGACACCTGGTGGCCTTCATGTAACCTGGGCCAGTTGCACTGGAGGAATCTGCCAGGAGTAAATTCATCATTTTTGCCTCAGGATCTCGGTGCCAATCTGACCTGGATCAGGGCCTCGGAACCCGGCTGGGAAGTACCAGTGGAGACTACTACCTATAGGGCTCCTCTGGTGTTCAAACCACCTGTGGGGGTGAGAGGCATAGACTGCCTTCAAAGCATTGCAGGAGAGAGACCTTCTTCCAAATTTCAGAGACTCAAAATGCAGCCACATCCGTGGCGTCTGCCTGCCCCTCCTGATCAGATCAAACGGACAGACCAGTGATGCTGGGAGCTGGGCGAAGGCCTCCACAGGCAGGGAGCAGGCTGAGAGGGCTGAGGTGCTCCGTCCTGCAGGCCCAGCGAGGGAGCTGTCCAGGGCAACTCATTTTGGCCCTCAGGAGCCCCCTGCTCTTGGCCTCCCGACCCCACCCAGGCCTCTGGTCCGCGGGATACTAAATGGCCAGTAATTGGCTGGCCCGAAGCCGGCTGTAATTGGAGGGTAATATACGCCGAAATAAATTAAATGGCCTTTAACTAGTTTGTACATTACACAAAATGAGTTTAATTAAGTTTGTATCTGCCCCGGGATCGATCCGAGCGCTCCCTCGCTGTACACTGCGCAGCCCACCGCCCAGACGCACACCGCGCCCCAGGGACCAAGGCACCGGCTGCGCGTCGAGCCGCGGGCGTCCAAGCGCCGCTCTGCGTGAGAGGGACCCTTCCCTCCTCAGATCTCAGGATGTGAGGAAGGGGCAGAGAGGAGATGCAAACGGGCGAGAGGATGGTTGGGACGAAGGGAGGGAAACGAAAGAACCATGGAAAAAGGCGAAGGCGAAGGAGGAAGATGAGACGCCGAAGAGGAAGAGAAGTCCCCGCAGGGAGGGAGCGGGAGGACGGGGCGCGGCCTGACCCTCTGTCTTCTGTCCCGCCCGCCCGCAGGTGCCGGCGACCCCTACAAAGCGGACGAGGCGGAGGCCAACGGCTACAGCAGCGGCGGCGGCGGCCACAGCCCGAGCGCGGACAGCGGGGACGAGGCGCCCGACGACGAGGACGATGAGGAGCCGGAGGCGCAGGCGGCGCGCGCCGCCGAGGAGGCGCGGGGAGGCGGCGGCCTCGGGGCCCGCGGGTCGGGCTGCCCAGGAGCGGTCGAGGCGCAGGTGCCCCCCAGCGCAGTCGACGAGGCCGCAGCCCCCGGGCCCCGCGGAAACTCGCCGGGAGCCTCGGGCCCGCCCGGAGCCGCGGCGGCGGCGGCGGGGGTCACTGGGACCACTCCGCAGGGCGCGGCGGCGGCGGCCAAGCCCAAGCGGAAGCGCACGGGCTCCGACTCCAAGTCGGGGAAACCGCGGCGCGCGCGCACCGCCTTCACCTACGAGCAGCTTGTGGCGCTGGAGAACAAGTTCAAGGCGACGCGTTACCTGTCCGTGTGCGAGCGCCTCAACCTGGCGCTGTCCCTCAGCCTCACCGAAACGCAGGTGAAGATCTGGTTCCAGAACCGGCGAACCAAGTGGAAGAAGCAAAACCCGGGCGCCGACACTAGTGCGCCGACCGGCGGCGGCGGGGGCCCGGGACCCGGCGCCGGGCCGGGCGCGGGGCTTCCTGGCGGCCTCAGCCCGCTCAGCCCCTCGCCGCCTATGGGCGCACCGCTCGCCATGCACGGCCCGGCCGGGTACCCCGCGCACGGCCCCGGCGGGCTGGTGTGCGCCGCGCAGCTGCCCTTCCTGTCGAGCCCGGCGGTGCTCTCGCCCTTCGTGCTGGGCTCGCAGACCTACGGCGCGCCCGCCTTCTACGCGCCGCACCTCTGAGCCGAGGCGCCAGGACGCGGGGACATGGGGGGCTCGGCTCAGGCGGCCTCACGCCCCAGGCCGACGGCCGCAGGACCCTGGGCTCTTTTCTAAGGTTTCAGTCGTTTGGCTCTGTACATAGCCAGTTCCTACAGAAGACTTTTAAATTTATAAGTGACTGCGGGTGGGGCCCGGCAGGCGGCTCTCGCCGCTCAGAAGCACTTTGATGAACTTTGCTCAATAAACCCAGGAGGCCGTGCACACGACTCACAGGCTCCCACGCTGCCCGGTGTCAGGTCCTCCGGATCCCTGGCCCCAGGCCTCCCTGAGAGCCCCCTTTGCGTGGGGACTGAAGCACCCTGTGGGGTTTGGGAGCCCAGTATCCCGCAGTCAGGGCTTCGAGCCCCTGAGCACCCCTTTTGCTTGGAGCTGAGGTGCAGAGGCTAGCCTGGTGCTCCAAATGAGTCCCCTTCCTGCGTCCTCTCCCAGTGAGAATGGTACCTTCCTGCCCTGTCCCAGCAGCCTCCAGCACGGGGCTCTGCCTCAGGCTCCTCTCACCACCTGTAGTCCTCCTCCTCCCCTCTCCCCCCTCAGCCCCACCACCCTGGCCTGAGCAAGGCCCCATCAGGTGTTCTTATGCGGTGACCAGGAGCCAGGGTGCTCCTGCCCGCTCCCCAGAGAAGGACAGGGGTTTGGGAGGTTGAGCTACTGGGCCAAGGTGACGGGAGCTGGTCTAGAGGAGGTGTCGCCCCCAGCGCCACTCTTCTCCATCAATTCCGCAGGTCCCCATGCGGGCTCCTGGAACCTGGGAGCCAGAGCTCACTTTGAGCCAGCGGCAGCAGATCCTGCCAAGATGTGTTGTGACACAACAGACGAGCAGACCTGGCAGGGACTCTTCTGGGAGCTTAGTAGGGGTGGGGCCAGACGTTCCTTCTCCAGGTGTGCAGGGATCTCGACTCCTCTGTGACTCCCTAGGTTGGTGATGAGCTAAAGGCCTCTCAGAGGGCACTCCAAGCTGGGCTAATCAGCACCTGTCATTGTCATTGGGGACAAGGCTGCAGTTGGGGGAGAGAGGCAGCGACCGCCACTCTACAGGAGAGAGAGAAGTGCTCCTACTCCATTCTGGGGTCACCAGTAGGCAAATGACAGGCAAGGAGCAGCACGACCCTGGGCGGGTGGGGGCAGAACCCCCTATAGGGGCCCTGAGCCTCGGTCCTCCTCCCAGCCCCCCGTGTTCTGGGGCTGGCTGCCCGGGCACTGCAGGCCTGTGTAGGCTTCCTGGCCATCCTGCCCTGAGGCTCATCAGCCGGGGAGGCTCCAGCAAGACCAGGCTGTTGCTGGCTTCAGCTGAGGATGGCCTCAGTACATGCGTTGTGCTGACCAGTGAGCCCAGCCTACAGATGGTCTGCATTTGTCCAAATGTAACGGGAAGGCTGCTGGCCTCACAGCGGAGGCCCCTGGGGTGAGACGTGGCTGGGAGTTCCAGAAGGCTCTTGGCCTCGACTCAAATCAGCAGAACTGCAGGTCGGGCACAGCGGCCAATTCTCCACGCCCAGCCCCCACCTGGAAGGAAGCTGGTTCACTCCCTTTTTTCCGCCCACCCCCCTCTGCCAGCCTTGCTGAGCTCAGCTGGAACCTGCTGGGACACCCCAGGACTTGCAGCACGCAGAAGGATGAGAGGCTGGGGCAGGCAGATAGACGCTCTGGATCGGCCCGCCCTCTGACCCGAGCCGTGGTCCAGCTCCACCTGCGCTGCTGGCCCTTCCTGCCCTCCCCGCACCTGCTTGCAGGTGGACGGGTGCAAACATTCCTGGTGGTGGAGCAGCATCAGACCCAGATGAAATGCAAATGGAAGCCCTGGCTGTGCCCTCGCTGGCCTCTTCCCCACTGTCCCTGCTGGTCATGCGTGTCCAACAGCACATACAGTTGATCTGTCAAGGTTCAGCCCCAAGCATGGTGGCCACCCCTCTGGGCTCTCCAGAAGCCCTAGGCTATGGGAGGGGGTGGAGGGTGTTGGTTCGGAGTCAGGAAGCCTTGGCAGCCATGTGCCCACCGTGCACCAGCAGCTCCTGCCCGCCAGCCTCCTGCAGTCACCTGGGGGCTACAGGAGTGGGGGCTGCCTCCCAGGCTTGCTCTGATGCACACCCACTGTTCCTGAAGCCCCAGTCCTGGCCAGACCTGTGTCTGCCCACCTGAGCCTCCCTGAAACCCTACAGTGACCGTGCTGTGGCCACCTGCACACACACCTGAGGGGCTGAGGCCCAGGAGGTTAGGGGCTTGCTGGGTCCCCCCGCTCCCTCCTGGAGATGCCAGGCCAGGCCCCTCCAGCCTCAGCTTCTCCGTCTGTGCCACCAGGTCCCCAGGTCCCCATGGAACCGGGGAGGTTGGGGATGCAGGTTCCTCTGGCTACTTCCCTCGGAGCCCTCACGTTGGCCCACCACCTTGCTCTGCCCAGTTCTCAGTTGGGTCCTCGGTACATGACTGCTCTAGCCCCAGGAGCCGCGCTGGAGGCAGAGGCGGCCATGGCCCTGCAGGAGGTCCTTCCTGGGACTCAGGGCCAGCTGCCCACGACACCTTGACACCTCTGCCCTGGAGTTGTACCCTCTGCACAGGGCCTCCTGTCAGTGAGCAAGGCCCCGCCCTGCAGGTAGGGACCCGGATAGGCACAGCTCACCTGGGGCAGCGGGGAGGCCTCCACCCTGTCCTGCCCAGGGTCCACTCAGCCTGGACAGGAGAGCGCTGACTGCTGCCCATCCTCCTGCCTGGCCCACAGCCCTGTGAGGGGCTGAGTGGAGCGGAGGAGGACGCTGGCCTCCTTGTGTGTGAGGGGCTAACAGGGACAGGCCTGGGCCCGGCCACACCTTCGCAGCTACCAGACCCCACTCCCTCCAGGGCTCTGTGGCACCAACTGGACTAGGTCCTCAGCCCATAGCCCCCACGGGAGTGGGAGTCCAGCCACCGCACCCCACCCAGCCACAGGCACCACGGACAGAGGACACCCCTTCCTTTCAAGGCACCTTCCCCAAAACCACACAACACAGCTGCTCCCGCCTTACTGGCCAGCGCTTGGTCATGGCTGCCCTGAGTGGGGCGGGGGCAGGGAGGCGGGTAGTTTCCTGGGCCGCTCTGGCCCCAGCCCAAACCCACAGCCTGACCCCACAGGCCGCCAGTCTCCTGCTGGGCCTCGCCCCAGTGCCTCTCTTCCGGCTCCAGAGTGCCACTCCCTAGGCCCCAGCAACCTGCTCCTGGTGTCCATCCCCTGCTCCTGGTGTCCCTCGGGGCCAGCAGCCTTAGGAAGCAGCAGAGCCAAGCCCCTCCCACCCGCTTTCCTCCCCACCCCAGAAGCATCCAGGACCCAGCCCTACCCCCAGCTGTCCCTGGCACCAACTGCCTGTCCTTTGCCTGTGGACATCCCTGGCCACTTGGTGGCGCCCCCTCCATGTCTTCCCTGGTGTCTGTGTGCCTCCTGGCCCCCCGCAGGCCGGTTCCAGCCAGCTGTTCCCAGGACGCAGCCCCATGCCATGCGCAGGCTGTGTGAGAGCGCGCTGCAGCGGAGGAGCTGTTGGCAGGGAGACCAGCCCAGGGATGCAGAGCTGACCTGTGAGGGGAGGGGCCGCTTCAGGACCCTGTCACCCACAAGTGACGAGCCTGGGTATCCCCCCCCAACTCCTCCCAGACAGTCCTACATGGGACCCACCTTTGGAGGCAGCTCTCCTGCATGCTCATGCTCACCTGTTCTCTTCCTGGCAAACAAGGGACAACCACAGTTGGTTACCCATCTCCTGGGAAAAGGACTAATTCCCACTTCCTGGGCAGGCAGCAGCTGGACCCTGCATGTGAGTAGGTTCTGGCCAAGGTGACATGAGCAGAGTGTGTTGGGCAAGAGAAGTCCCAGACAACTAACTCATAGGAAATGTCTCAGCAGGCAGATGTACCCCCTCATTCCTTCTGTAGATCCTGCGATAGCTGGAGCCCCAGCAGCTACCTTGGGATGTGAGGTAGCCTTGAGGATGGAAGCCTCATGCTTGGATGCTGAGCCAGCAACAAGAATGAGATAAGTCCCGAGGGTACTCCGAGACCTCCTCTCCCTCAGCTTAGGGTTCTACCTTTGGACTCTTGATTGACAGAACACATCTCAGCCTTTGGGTTTACAAGCCAATTACTTAGATTTCAGTTCCGTGCAGTTAACCCTAACCCTAACATCGCCTTCCCTTATGGCCGTCCACCCTAGCACTGAGGCCATGACCCACACCCTCCCATCCTCCCTGCGGCCACCCCTTACACCCACCCTCTGCTGTCCTTTTCTCAGCCCAGAGCAGCACCCCGTGGCCTCCCCAGCACTGAGTCCCATGGCTGGTGTGGCCCTGAAATCTGCCCCGCCACCTCCGCAGGAGGCACAGTTCAGCAAGCCTCCCCTGCTGCCTCGTCCCCAAGAGCCCCACCTGGCCCTGCTACCCCAGAGCTCTGCAGGGACCCCCCTTGCCCTGGCCACCCCCTTCCCCTTCCCTCATCACCTGGGAGTGGGCAGTGCCAGCCAGGCACGGTGGTGCACACCTGTGATGAAGCTGAGGCAGGAGGGTGGCAAGTTCGAGGCCAGGCTCGGCAACTTAGCAAGAGCTGCCTCAAAATTCAAAGATTTTAAAAAAGGACCGGGGACGTGGCTCAGTGGGAGAGCACCTGGTCAATCCCCAGGACGAGGAGAAGAGGGTGGGCGTGCGTCCCTCAGGGTTTGCACTGGCACTGCCCAAGAGGACCTGCCAGTCTGGCAGGCAGGAAGACAAGACTCCCCAGCCCTGGGACCTACGTCCCTTGGCCCCTCCAGAAGGGCATAAGGACTGACAGGTCCTGCAGCGTCCTGGAGGGTGCGGTCCCCGCCACGCAGCCCGGGGCCCCCAGAGGCTGGCCCCCATACAGGGCCTGGGCTCAGAGGGGATGCTGTCCAGGCACATCCCGGGCCCAGCCACCCCACCCTCCCCTCCTCACTCTTCCCACACAGCTGCTCGGGTGGATGGTGCGCGGACAGCACCAGGGCGGGCGGTGACTTCTGAATGAACTCTTCTGATGCCTCATTTCCTATTCCACCTCAAGACATCGGTACCAGGGTCTCCACCAAACACGTCCCACACAGCTGAGTGCTACACTGGCATGGTGACAGCCACCGGCCGACCCAGAGGCCAGAGATGGCCCACTGGCCCACGGCGTGCTGTGAGCAGCACCCCAAACCCACCGGCAGCGCGAGGTCATCTACCTGTGCCGCAGTCCAGCTGCAGCAAAATAACCGGGGGGTGACGAATAACTTGTGTACGTTGATACAGCAGGAGTGAGAACCGTTTATTGCAGGACAGGAGCAGTATTTATACATTCCACACAGCTTATCTAATTAGCATAAACTAGATACATCAGTCAGCCAATAAGGAATCTCCACACTTAATGGCTCGCTGGTGCTACTTCACAAACCATTCCCTCTGGCATTTTGCCAGGAGCCATCCTGACTTGTTTACAGACTCAAACACAGCTGCAGCTCGGGGAACTGGAAAGCTGTTTGAAGTAAGGGGCTGATCTCCTGGCTGGCATTTCATACATCAGCAATTTGAATGTGAAAACAAACCCCCAGAGTACTAGGAGGAAAATGGAAGAGTGCACTTCAGGGTGGGGAAGGCATTCTCAGTCCAAAGCCACAGGGGCTGGGAGTCCCACGCAGCGGGAGCAGCCTCAGCAGAGCCCAGGACACTGAGGCCCAGGGTCCAGAGCCCGCGTCCTGCTGGATGGAGCCTCATACCACTGGGTGAGCTCCGCAAGCCAAAGCAGCACCAGGTAGAGACCTAGACACACGCTCACAACCCACCCTGGAACATGTGGACACGGCCCCGCTGCTCACGCCAAGGGAAATGTCGATTAAAACTACGTGGCCGATGCACAGGAGAGGTGATGGTTTGGAAAGCCAGCGGTCAGCATTACTGCGGGAGAGCAGGCAGACACCAGGTCTGCCCCAGTCGCCTCGCAGTCAAAATGACACTCTCCTACCCCTTGACTTTGGAGCCCCACATCCAATGCATGCATGCCTGCACACCAGGACATACACAGGACCCTGCAGGACAGAAAGAGGCTGGACACAGCCCCAGGCTGTCCTGTGGAGGGCAGTGCACCTGTCCTCACTAATGTGTCCTTGGGGAAGCCCTTCTGGAAAGCAGAGTAAGAGCTCCTACAATCCAGAACCATTAGAATAACCACCCAAATCAATGCTGGACATTTTTAAAAAGACTTGTAATAATCCAAAGAAGGCTTGTTCAAGAAAGAACGCTCAGCACTGCGAGGTACGAGGCACGCCACACGGCTGGCTGCCACGGACGGGTCTTGGTAGAGGAGCTTTGTGCGACTGAACTCGCACAGTTCCCTGACCAGCTTGCAGCAGCCTTCAGGGGAGCGGCCTCCCGCAGTGCGGACCCACAGCAGCCCTGGGAGGGAGTCGGTTCTGGAGCTCCTCAAAGCCCCCCTGGGGAGTGCACACTGGCCGGCCTGCTGCTGCCTGGACAAGCGCACTCAGGGGCTGCCTGACCGCCCGACTCCACCAGCTGAGACAGGGCACTGGAAGCAGCAGCTGTGCTGTCCAGAGCCTAAAGGCAGAGCTGAGGAGGGGGTGTCCACAGTGGCGCTGGACGGCTGACTCTGCTGAGGTGTGGGTGTCACTGTGCACACACATGTGGCTTTGCACTCGTCCTGCTGTCACTGTGGTGCTGCAGGTAGGAGGCTGAGGGAGGGTGCGGAGGCCTCGGGGCGGATCCCACAGCATCCACACTTCACGGAGCGAGTGGGGAGGACGCTGAAGTCAGCCAAACAGGCAGCAGGAGGCTGGAGCCGGCTGCCCCCCATTCACACACCAGGGTATTTCAACATTTCAACAACACAGAGCCACCCAGAAACAGGGGATAGCAATCCTCCCGGGGAAGTCCTGGCGTCCAGTGCTGTCAGCAGCTTGGGAAGGGCCGCACTTTGGGGTGCCAGGCCCAAGACTGGGCACTGGAGGGACAGAGAACCTCGAGGAGGGGAGCTCGCAGAGGCTGAGCGAGGCTCTGGGCAGACGGGCCGCGAGCAGCCCACCTGCAGCCTGTCGGCAAAAGGAAGAGTCTGTCGCCTGCAGGAGCCACAGAGAGAGGATGGCAGGCGCCAGAGAGGAGAGGCACAGGGGACGCCTGCAGACAGACACCAGGGCCCACCTGCACACCTGGTGGGCAAGAGCGGCCCGCACATGCAAGAAGCATGTGGATTCCCTGGACCTGTGGCCACTGTCCCGAGCCGGGAGCCAAGAGAGTCTCAAGCACAAGAAGAGCAGCTGTGCACCCAAGGAAGCTCTAGGGGCCACCTCTCAAGGTGACCCCAGGGAGGAGCGCCCTGGGGCTGGGGAAACGACTGTCGACAGGGCCCTACGCTCACAGAATGAGTTCCCAGAAGTGACGGGGAGACAGACATGGAGCAGACTTGCAGCTGGCACACCTGCCCTCCAGGAGAAGAACCCGCACGGCAGAGGGGGCACGGCAGAGGGGCACGGCAGGGGGGCACGGCAGAGGGGCACGGCAGAGGGGCACGGCAGAGGGGCACGGCAGAGGGGCACAGGGGGCACGGCAGGGGGGCACGGCAGGGGGGCACGGCAGGGGGGCACGGCAGGGGGGCACGGCAGGGGGGCACGGCAGGGGGGCACGGCAGGGGGGCACGGCAGGGGGGCACGGCAGGGGGGCACGGCAGAGGGGGCACGGCAGGGGGGCACGGCAGAGGCACCTGCAGGGCGCCAGGCCCAGCCGAGGGCCTGCAGTCCACAGGATGCAGTGAGTGCCAGAGCCCGGGCATGGCTGGACCCCGCTTCTGGCCGTGCTGGGCCCGGGGGCTGGCCCCTGTGGGATGGAGGCGCGAGCTGCAGCACTCGGCAGCCTGGGGAGAGGACCGTGGGAGGAGGCGAGGCTGGCAGGAAAGAGAGGTCCGAGGGGCTGAGCATGACTGACACAGCAACTTGGGAGCAGAGACCGCGACCCTGCCTGTGGGCTCTGTGAAGGCAGAAGCACCGGTTACCCAGTTACCTGGCTACCCAGTTACCTGCTTACCAGGTTACCCTCTCACCCTCTCAAGCAGAAAAAACAAGAGGACCCAGGTTCCAGGTTTATTTATTTTTGAGTACTAGGAAATGAATTCAGGGTGCTTTAAAGTCTTTTCATCTTTTTTAAAATTAGATTTTAGAAAGGGCTAGGGCACAGCACAGTGGGAGAGCGCTTGCCTCGCTGTGTGAGGCCGGGTTCCGCCACCAGGACTGCGAAAAGGGACAGGAGTGCAGGAACACAGCACCCGGGAGCGCTCACAGGAGAGCCCAGGTAGACACGGAAACTGAGGGCTGCAGCCAGGAAGCGACTCTTCTGTCTCAGGAAACACACACAGTGGACTAGAGCCAAAGCACCCAGAGGAGATGGTGCCGGTCGAAGTAGAGATCAGTGGAATAAAGCACGGAAAAGTCAACGATGAACAGAACCAGTGGTCATGTCTTTGAATGAACAACAAAGTCATGAACCTTTAGCCAGACTGACCAAGGGAGAAGGAGGGAGGAAGGGGCGAGAGCAGGGGAGAGAATCCAAGCACTGGGCACAGGGAGACGTGAGCAGCAGCAGTCCCGCCCAGCACAGGTCACCAGGGGGCAGGACGGCTCCTGGGCAGAGTGAGCTGCTCCATGCACTCAGGTCACCACCAGCTAAGGAGTCTCACAAAGCCCAGGGCCAAGGCGTTGCTGGTGAACCCCAACCAGGGCTGGAGTGATGATGACCGGTCCTCGCAACTTCCCACCGCGTTCTGGGAGGCCAGCAAGACCCTGATACCAAGGACGTCACAAGAAACATGACAAACCAACGTCCCCTAAGAATCCAGATGCACCACACCAGCCGACAGACCCAGCAGCACAAGGAGAGGACCCACCCCAGGGCAGGAGTGCAAGAGTGTCACCCACGAGGCACCCGGGAGGCCCCAGCCTGATCAGGAGAAGGGGAAAGACCATCTCACCATCTTGAGAATGGAGAAAAAGCGTTTGGCAGTGAAACAAAAAGCATTTGATAAAATACGATCCTTCATGACAAAGGGACAATCAGGAGTAAGGGGACTTCGCTCTGGAAATGTGATGCTACAGAACACAGCTGGCGTCACACTCAGCAGGGAAAGGCTGAGCCGCCCCTGAGATCAGGAGCAAGACAGGGGCCTCTGCTCTGCCAGGTCTGGTCCTCACCAGGCAGGAGGTGCCAGCCAGCAATTAGGCAAGACACAGGCACAGGAAGCACCCAGCCTGCAAAGGAGAAGGAAAAGATCCCCGTTTGCAGATGACACAACTGTGCACAAAAAAGCGTTTGGAAAACACACACACACACACACTTAGTTAGAACCAACAGATTAGCTTAGCAAGGTGGCAGGATACAGATCAACATGCAAAAATCGGTTGTATTTTCATACATTAGCAACAAACAAATAATTGAAAAATGGAACTCAGAGAGCAAACAAATTTATAATAGCATCAAAAAGAACACTTAGGAATGATTTATTATTATTATTATTTTTTTTTTTTTTGGCACTGTGGATTGAACCCAGGGTGCTTACTCTCTGAGCTGCATCCCCACCCCTTTTCATTTTTTACTTACTTATTTATTTTCAATATTTATTTTTTGGTGTAGAAGGACACAACACAATGCCTTCATTTCTACGGGTGCTGAGGACGGAACCCGGGTCCCACCCGTGCTAGGTGAGCATCCTACCGCTGAGCCATCACCCCAGCCCCTTCACTTTTTACTTTGAGACAGGGTCCCACTGAGTTGCAGGGTCTTGCTGTTCCAGGGCAGGGCTCCTGAGAGCAGGAGGAGGGCAGGCCCCAGTCCCACGATCGGTAGAAAGGTCCAGACCCTGCTGCTCAGAGTCAACAGGAGTGAGCCTACTGAAGGGACAGGAAAAGGGACAGGGCACTCTCAAGGCTCCAGTTTTACTTGGGATCCAGAGAAGTTTCTAGAGAGTCCCACCCAAGTCCACCTTGACTGACAGATAACATCATCTTTCAAGACCCACTGCTATAACTGCTATAACTCTAGGTCACCTTGGCCCATGCTCACTATTTCTAATTGAATTTTTAACCATAAATCCTTAATTTTATTTTTAATACATCAGGGATTGAACCCAGGGGCACTGAACCACTGAGCCACACCCCCAGCCCTTTTTATGTTTAGAGGCAGGGTCTCACTATATTGCTTGGGGCTTCACTAAGTTGCCGAGGCTGGCTTTGAACTTACGATCCTCCTGCCTCAGCCTCCCGAGCTGCTGGGATACCCAGCGTGGCCACCGCGCCCTCATCATCAACATTATTATTATTTTTTCTGTAGTTGTAGATGAATAGAATGCCTTTATTTTATTCAGGTGTTCTATGTTGTACTAAGGGTCATGCGCTCTGCCACTAAGCTTCAGCCCCAGCCCCATCATCAACATTATTTTGAGCCTGCATTTCTCCTGCAGGTAACAAGTAGTTTCTTGAGAAATGTGCCACATCCTGTCCACTTCGGCCAGGCAAAGTTGCAGGTAAATTGCTTCTTAGAAAAGAAAGCATGTGGGGGTCGGCACAGTGGGCCCATGTTATAGAGTCATCCCCTTAACCTCCTGTTCCCACCGCTCACATCTGTCTGCTCCCCAACATCACTAAACTGCTGAGGCTGGCCTTGAAATCCTCCTGCCTCAGCCTCCCCAGTTACTGGGGTTACAGGTATGCACCACTGCAGCCAGCTTCAATTTTGTATGAACACTCATAAAAACTCACTAAAACTGTAAAACACCACTAAAGACAATTAGATGGAAAGGTATCAAAAATTCATGACTCAGAAGACAAGATGGGACTATTTCCCCAAATGATCTATAGACTGAATACAATCTCTATCAAAATCGTAGGGTTTTTTTCCCCAAAAACTCACAAACTAATCCTAAAATTCATTCTATGCAAAGGACCCAAAAATAGCCAAAAACACTGAACAGAACAAAGCTGAAGGACTCATGTTCACCAAATACGGAATCAACCGCAGCCGCAGCACCGCAGCAGCAAAGTGCTGATGGGCCGGAGAGAGGACTGTAGACTGGGGGCCAGGCAGGCCCAGGCAAGAGGAGGAGGCGGGCCACCTCACACCTTACACAACTCAGCCTAAAATGGACCCAAGACCGGACTAAAAACTAGAAATAGGAAAGTCTTAGGAAAAAAACTGAAGAGCGGATCTTTGTGACCTGAAATGAGCAATGGCGTCACAGACGTGACGCCAAGAGCACAAGCAACAAAAGAAAAAGACACACACACGTTGGACTTCAACAAAATGATGACTCTTAAAAGGTGCTATCGAGAAGGCGAGAAGGCAGGGGGCAAGAGGTATCAGCAAGTATCAAGGGCCTGGTATTCAGACTCTCTGCAAAACTCTCACAACACAGGACACATACCCCATTAAAGACGGGAAAGATCTGGGTAGACGTTTCTCCAAAGAAGACCTACAGATGGCCAATAAGAACAGAAGATGCTCAACGTTGGTTATTACAGAGATGCAAATCTGAACACGAGCAAACCCTTCACGTCCACAAAGACTCGAGAAACTAAAAAGTCAGGTGACCCTGAGCTTGGTAAGGAAGCAGGGCAGTGGGACTTGGGCTGCTGGCGGGTGCAGGACGGAGACCCTCCCCATGGAAGGGGGCCTGGCAGTTCACTGAAAGGTGGGGCATGGAGTCACTATGCCCCCTGGTGTATCCCTTGGGTGGACCACCTCTGTCCACCTTTGTCCACACACGCTCACAGCAGTGCTATTCCCAACAGCCAAAACGTGGGAATACCCCAAAGGTCAAAAGAGGAACACCCGAGGAGCCTCTCGGCTCCAGGTGATGCAAAGGAAGGAGGACTGAGGTGCCACGGGTCTGACAACATCCGCCAAGGGGCAGTAGCGCGACGAGGACACCTGTGAACAACTCCATATCTGAAATGTCCAGAAAAGGCAGAGGCAGACCCGGGCAGGAAGGGGCCAGCGGCTCCTGTAGGGCAGCAGAGTGCTCTGGAGTGCAGCCGCGTGAGCCCGCACTGCCCCTGAAGCCACACTCCGCAGGGGGCAGGAGCCTCCTCAGCACCCTGCGGGGGAACTAGGGCCACCGAGGCCTGGACTTGGCCTCCACCAGGGTTGAGTTCGCATTGCGGGCACAGTGACAGAGCGTGGGCCTCCCAGAGCTGCTCTGCTCTGCCTCCGGGGGGTGCAGCGTGGGTGGAGGGCAGGAGGTGCCGACCGTGGGCCCGTCCATGGGCTCTGACCACACCGCCCAGTGCACAGGCTCAAGAGAACCACAGGATGCCCCACAGGGGACACGTAGCAACCAGGTGGTGGTGGCCCCCAGGCAGGTGAAGGCCCCCACTGCAGGGCATCTTGGCACACCATTTCCTGATGTTGACCACACACAAGAAAGGCTCCTTCCCAGATGGACACCCACACTCCCTCCCCCATGCTGGCAGAGGAAGAAGAGCTGACGATCAAGGGCCACGGCACAGCCTCTAATTCAGCGCATAGTTAAACTGGTTTGCAAACTTCTCGTGCTTCTTCCGGTCCACCTGGTTCATGGCAGTGACCACTCTTCGCACAGCTGCCCTGTGGGGAGAGCAAGGCAACACGTGGTCAGGGAGGCTCCAGCCGGGGCTCTCGGGGATTGGGCACTGCTTGTGGATGGCTGTGCATTCGTCCAGGCAGGGGCCCTGCCCTGGGGAAGAAGGCCTCGCCTGGGGACCAAGAGGCAGCACCGGGATCCGGATCTTGCCAGGCCTAGCTGCGCCCAGGAGTGAGGGCACAGCCCACCCTACCTCATGGAGAGCAGCCCTGGGGGCGTGTGCAGCTGGGGAATGCGTGATAGACACACAGAGGAAGGCAAGACACAGGCTGCCCCCAGACCAGCTCAGGGGCCGTGGTGCTGAAGCCATAAAGCGGGGACACATCCTGGGCCTGGAGCCCTGAACGCTGCCAGGCACTGCTACTGGCTCTCCCTTCAAGGCAGGGCTGTGGAGGTCATTTGAGGTTCCTTCTGTGGCAGACTCGAGGCCACACAGCTGTGCGAGTAGTGGGTTCTGAGGCCCTGCATCCACCACAGGTCTCACTGTACCCAGGAGGAAGCAGGAAGGAGGCCGGAATGGATCCCTAGGCCTCCACTGCTCCCAGGCAGAGGCACCCAAGAGCCCTTCACATCTGACTGAACCACTGGACACCAGCCTTATACCCTGAGCCTCCCAAAGCAGTCCCACCCAGGTGCCACTGGCAGCCCCTCAGGCCCACGCACCCCGCTGGCCCCCACTGCAAGGGAGCCCTGTTTCTGCTGACCCCACTGGCCAGTTGCTGTCAGCACCAACAGCCTTCCCTGCCTGGTGAGCCGAGCACTCCAGGTGCTCCCAGGCAAGAGGCTTACGGGGGCAGTGGGCATGGCCAGGCAGGCCCCCCAGGGCCTGGCATCAACCTCAGGGGGAGGCAATGGCTTCCTGGGCCTTATAGCAACACTCCAGGTCCTCTTTGAGCAGAGTAGGCTGATGCAAAGAGAAAAGAAGCAGGTCCAAGTGGCCGCCCTCTGCTGAGCAGCGCACCTGGGCCTGGAATCAGGCGGCAGGGGCTGATCCATCTGCCAGCCTTCGCAGTGGCTGTCCTCCCTGAGGCCCTGCAGAGAGTGCAGGCACTGATTGGGGCACAGCAAGGCCAGGGCCTGGCCCTCTGGGGTCAGCCAGGTAGGGCATGAAGGGTCCACTCTGAAGCAGCTGGCCCTTGCCCAAAGCCACCGGGAAGCAAGGATGGCAGCCTCCCTGGGAGAATGCTCAGGACGCCCAGCTGCAGCTGGGCCCCTAACAACCCCTGGGATGGCTCTGCCCCTGGCTGGAGCTGGAGGCTGCCAGGGAGAAGGTCCAGGTGGCCCCAGAGGCCCTCCTCCAACGCCCAGACCAGGGGTCCCGGAGGCGTGGCGAGCAGCTCTTACTTGGCGAAGACCTTCTTCCTGAGGCGGGCCCGGCTGGTGTTGGCTCGCTCTCGCAGGTCCGTGAGGTTGGGGTGCTTCTTCCGCTTCCCTTTGCCCTTCTGGCTGTACCTCGACGAGCCCAGGTCTGCCCCTGTGGCTGCCTCCACGTCCCTCATGAACTCCGGGTCCTGCCAGTCTAGATAAGACCCAAGGGTTTCAGAAGCCCTCCTGGGGTGGAGGGGCTCGGGGAGAAGCCTCCAGCTGGGGCCAAGCAGGAGCCCAGGGCCCTGTCCTGATGGGGTGGGGCCAGGCTCCAGCTCAGGCTTCCCACAGTGGAGCCAGGTGAGGACCGGGGTGAGGACCCGGTAGAGCTTACTCCCTCTGCATCCGGCATGGCCCCACAGACTGCAGAGGACTCCACAACCCTCAGAGGTGCCTGAGCCCCCAAGGACCCCTGTGGCCCAGACAGGCAGGGGGGAGCTAGGTCAGGCCTCCGAGGCCCGTCGTGGTACAGCCATGAGCTTCGAGGCAGGCTGTCAAACAAGGCTGGAAGTGAGGGTTTCAGTGCCTCTGGAAGGTAATTACTGGACTGCAAACTGGACAGTGACCACTGAGCCACTGTGGTGCTGTTAACAGGCTGGACAGGATCAAGGTGAGGGAAGGCCCAGGACGACAGGCAGTGGACAGCTTGTGTTTCACTCGTCCACAGACAGCCTGGCTGTGGGTCTCAGAAACAGGTAGGAATTCAGCCCAACAGGGTGCCCTTCCTGAGAGGACTGGGTACCGTGTGCCACGGTTGTAAGGGAAACCAGTGCCACCCAGCCCTGCTGGGCAGCCTCCCCAGGGTCAGGCCATACCCAGTGCATGAGCAGAGCCCTGCTCAGAGGGCTGCTGGAAGTGAGCCGTGTACAGGCCCAGTCTGGCCTGGGGGCCGGGCGGGCATCCTGGCAGCTCCCCACCAGTTCCTGCTGGCCTGCCTCTGCAGGCTGTGGAGATGGACGACCAGAGCCTGGGCCGCCTGGTGTGGAAATGCCATCCCAGACCAGGGCAGTGGCGGTGGGCCGCCTGGTGTGGAAATGCCATCCCAGACCAGGGCAGTGGCGGCAAGGCCATCCCAGCATGCCTATCCCTGCAGGTGGACCTGGCCTACAGCAGGGTGCTCACCCCGGCCCCACATGCCCACAGGGCTAGGGAGCAGTGCCCGGACACAGGGAGCCAGCAAGGCCAGGCTGTGGTGGGCACGGCCATGGAGGGAGAGGCTGTGCCCAGACAGATGGTGTGGCCTCCCCAGGAGGATTTTTTTGAAGTGAAGGAACTCGGGGCTGCACAATTCAGATCCAGGGACGATTAATCCAAGATTAAGGAAAACTGTCTAAACAGTTTATCTCCCAGTAATAAGAAGGCGTCACAGTTTAGGAACCCGGTGAATGGAGCAATTGTTTAAACACAAGGAAAAAATGCCAGCATCCAGTGGAGACGGAATGAGCACCTCAGGAAAATGAAGGAGCAATTTAAAAGCCTTTGAAGAAAATCAATAGACGCCTCGGCCGCGCCGCCTTCCTGGGCGCTGACGGGCCCTGCAGCGCCACGCGCATTGTCACTGAGGTTAGCACCAGGGAAAAGAAAATTGCCCCGTGTGTGCGGGAGGCGGGATCGATACTGCAGTTAGTAAAGAGACGCTATTTCACATCTGACTGGCCAGCACCGGGGCAGCCGCGGCCTGATACCTGTTTGTTAACAAGCCACCGAGGGCTGGAAATCAGACTCTTCAGGCTCGACACAGAAATAGGCATTTAATTTGCTCCTGAGTGTGACCACCAGGGAAGGCCTTGCCCTGAAGATGAACAGGTCAGGGCCCTCCCACTGCCCAGGGCTTAGGCACCGGCCGGTGTCAGGATGAAACCCAGCATTTGTGTCTTAGGACCCAAGGGCAAGAAGCTGCTGAGTGGGCCTGCAGACGCGTCCCCCTCTGAGGGAGGGCCTGGGGCTACAGCCCAGGCTTGCATGTCCATGGAGACAGCCAGCAGGTCAGAGCTGCCAGGGTGGGGGACCCCAGGCCGTGGAAAGGCAGGGCAGACTGCCGAGGCTCCAGGAAGCACAGTCGTCTGTGGATGCTCACCGCTGCCCTGCTGCTCAGGGGCCCTGGGTCCCTGGGCACCCAGCAACTCCTGCGGCCAGGCTGCAGCAAGTGCCCTGAGGGCAGGAGGGACAGGTATCTCTGGATGGGACAAGGCAACGGCCCCATCAGGAAGGAGGACGGAAAGCAGGAGAAACGAGCTGGCCTCCTACACTCGGCCTGCTCCCTCTCCCGCCTCCACCTTCCACTGAGGAGAGATGCAGGATGCAGGACCTGACCGTGCAACTGCCAGCTTGGTGGCTTATGGAGGGTGTGTCCATATCCCGACAGTGGCCTTGCAGGTGCCGGTCCCCAACCTGCCTGTTACTACAGCGGAGGCTGTGGCTTGAGAACTGTGAAGAGTCGCCCAGGTTGACCCTGTGGTGCCCCAGGCTGTGCCCTGGCACCCCGCCCCCACACCTACCTGGGCGTGACTGCTTGTGTGGTGGCTGCTGCTGCTCCCGGGCCCTGTCCTCTGGGTCCAGGGGCCGCCCCTCATCATCTCTGGGGATGATCCTCCCATGGAAAGGACACTGCAAAGCAAGCACAAAAAGACTGATGGCCAGGAGGTGGGGCTGTAGCTCCCTGGGCACAAGTGCCTCTGGGGGGGGACACACTGCCCTGCAGTCACGTGACCTTCAGATGTGAGTCCTGGGAGGTGCACAGCAGGGGCCCTGGTCCTCCCAGACCTGGGGCTGCAGCTGCAGGAGCCTGGGGCCGCCAGTCAATTGTTAGTGGTGACCTATTTCTCCCTGCTCCCTCCAGCCTGGGGTGAAAGTGGGCAGCTGTGGGCCAGGGTGTACCTCTCCCTTCCCAGGGCTCTGAGTCCACACAGACTGCACTGCTGCAGAAGCTGAGGGGCCTGGAAGTTGGCTCTGGGCCCCAGGGCAGAAGACCCCAAAAACAATTCTTGCTGGTCAGTGGCTAAGCCATTTCTGCCAACGCAGGGCAGCCCCTTCTGCAGGCTCCCAGTGCCCACAGCCCTGTCCTGGCCCAGCCTCATACCCACAGAACACTCAGGCCACAGCCTCACCTTCAGCCGGTCCTGGCGCGCACAGAGCCGGCCATCGGGTCTCAGGGCCCGGCACCGGTGCTGCACAGGCTCAAACTTCCCTGCAAAGGTGATGCGGCGGCTCTGGAACACGGCAGGCACATCTGCACTGTCCACCTCCTCTTCTACCTCCCGGGGCTTCCAGAAACGGTGCTGAGATTCAGATCTGCCGGTGTACCAAGTCTCCTGACGCTCATCTGCAGAGGACCTTGGAGGACGGTCACACCTGCCCTCCTGCTCTGTGCTCTGCCCTCAGGGCCCCAGGACAACAGAGGCAGGACTGTCCCGCCCTGCCCACCAGCCTGCAGGCAGGAGCACGGGCATTGAGCAGGGGTCCCCACTGGGGAGACTAGCCCTAGAAGGCCTGCCCTGGCCAATACCATCTGGGGGTCTGCAGCGTGGTCCAAGGCAAGGGCCCCGCCCCCACGGAATGCAGGTGAGTGAGACGCTGGCCTCCCCAGTGGGGCTTGGGGCCATCTAGGACCCACTGGGTCCTCCCAACAAGATGCTCAGGCCTGACTGTCCTGGAGCCTAACTGCAAGGGGCCCTGGGGGACCCGGGTCAGGCAGGCGGGAGGAGGGCAGTGCTGCCTCCAGGTGTGGGGCTTCTGAGGGAGGAGCAGCAGCTAAGCCTTTCAGTCCCCAGCCAGGCTAGTGGCCACTGGCTGGGCTCTGAGGCTAGCCACTGACCTTTAGCTACCTGGTGACAATATGTGGAGGGACAGCTCCCAGAGTGCCTCCTACAGACCTCTCTGCCCTGCTGCTCCTCCCGCCTGGCCTGCCCGCCCCCACCCTGCAGCGGAGCAGGGCAGGCAGGATGGAGGCAGCATCCACATGCATCTGGACCACAGGTCTAAGCCATGGGCTCAGCATTCCCCAAACACCCTCAGGCTGCTGCAGAAGCTGAGGGGCCTGGTAGTTGGCTCTGGGCCCCAGGGCAGAAGACCCCACAAACAATTCTCTGCTGGTCAGTGGCTAAGCTATTTCTGCCAACCCAGGGCAGCCCCTTCTGCAGGCCCCCACTGCAGGGCCATCCATCCTCACAGGAACAGGCCACGTGGCCACAGTATGAGCCCTGGGGTCACAGCGGCATCACCAGCCCTCTGCCTCCCGAGAGCTGGCCTCCACTGCCCTCAAGCCAACCTAGCCAAGCCCGGTAAGACTCCACCTGTTTTCCCAGTGAGCCTCCCTGCCCTGTCAGCCCTGGCCCGCCTGCCAGCCCAGGTCCCACTGGGGTAGGCAGGGTGCCTCTGGCTGGCCGGGCAGTGATGGGAGCTGCTCAGTAGCACCCCATGAGAACCAGGACGGCGCTGGATCAAGAGGTGAAGCTGGGCTCTCTAGAGGCCTGCATCCCAGAGCCCCTGCGAGTGCCCTCTGGCTAGTCCCTCTCTATAACAAGGCCCAGCCTCCCTGGGCGGCTCCCAATAGAGCAGCAGCCAGGCTCAGGGAGGACCATGTGTTCTGGAGCCACAGGCTCCCTGGACTCACCTGAGGATCTTCCCGGTCACCGGCTGCTCCTGGCCCCAGTAGCACAGGTCCACTCCAAAGGGTACCACGGGCGCCCGGGCCCGCTCTTCCGCCAGTTTCTGGGCCTCCTCGGGTCCCAGTGGAGCCCTGAGAGCAGAGCAGAATGTGCTGTCACTCCTGGAGAGGGCACAGCCCAGTGCAGCCCAGACCCAAGGTAAGACCAGGGAGCCAGGGCCTCAGGCACATCAGTCCTGTGAGCAGCCTTGTCCTAGCCGAGCAGTGCTCTGGTCTCTGGCCCTCCTCTGGCTGGGAAACCTGACATCTGTCTCTCAAGACCTGAGCAGTGGTCCAGCTTCAGGGCCTCTGGGGATGAGCTGTGTCAAGAGAACGTCTATGGGTCCTGCCCCACTGTGCCAGCTCTCTGAGCAGCCCTGCCCCACACAGAGGTCAGCAGGTGCCCGCTACCCAGGGCTGCACAACCCAGGTGCCCTCAAGGGAGCCAAAGAAGGCCTTGCACCCCACTGGTGCTCTGGGTAGTCAGTGACGGTGCCAGGCAGTGGCCCAACAAAGTGGGACATCTGGGATCACCTGACAGAGGAGGGTAGGACAGGAGGCAGGCAGTCGTGGGGCCGCCACAGCTGGGCAGCAGCAGAGGTGGGGTCCGACGCCTCCTCGTCCCTTCTCGTCCTCTTCCTCGCCTGTGAGCCCTGTGCAGCTGCATCTTTCTCCAGAGCCTGCAGAGGGGCTTTGGGCTCCAGCCCTGAAACAGACACATGTCCACTGCTGACTTCCACTCCATGACCTGGGCAGATCCCGTGAGCACCTGCCACCTCTCGGTGCCCAAGCAACTGGGACGCACCCTGCACATGAGAGCCCATGATCCTCCAAGGCCCTGAGAAGTGGTTCCTGTCACCTCCCCCTCTTGGACAGGGCCTGGAGATACCCGCCCCGTGGCTGCCAGTCAGATGCAAGCTCCCAGTGAGTAGAATGCCAACCTGGAGCACAGCCCCTGGCACCAGGATGGCAAGGCCACGGGCACAGTGGCACACTGGCTTCTGCAGCCATGTCCATTCTTACATCCCTGGGGCGGAACAGGACAGATCCTTCAGCACCACCAAACCCCGCCATCCCTGCTATCCCTCAAGGCCCTGCCCACCCCTCTTGCCCGTACCAAGGCAAGGACTTGGGTCTGGCCCACCCTGACCTTTGCTCGCCTCTCTCCCAGGTGGGGCACAGGGCAGGTAGGGGTTAGGACTCCAGAGGCACGGCCTGCCTCTGCCACCGCCTGCACTCAGCCACCCTCCCCTGTGCACCCGCCAACTGAGGTGCTCACAAGGAGCCGCAGCAGCCAGTGGACAGGGGAAGCCCAGCACTAGAGCGAGCCGACAGGAGTAAGGCTGCTGCAGGGCAGGAGGGTAGCAGGGACTCTGACCCCCCCGGAGGACACACACTCCTGCAGTGAGAGCCAAGGGCACCTGTGCAGGTACCAAGGTCCTCATTTCCAGAATCTGGAGGAAAGAAAAGGAAGCGCTGTGGAGAAGAGTTGGGAAATGGTGAGCCTCGTTTCCTGGAGACGGAGGGAAACTGTGGCTGGAAATTCTACAGGGAGTTTAAGGACATCAGAGAAAAAGCCATACATCTAAAGAAGGACAGTCCTACCGCAGCAGCATATCAACAGCACGGTGCGCAGGGCCGGGGAGGGCTGCTCCCACGGCTGAGGGCCTCCAGCCTGACTCTCCACCCTCTCAGCCTGCAGTGAGGACCAGGGCCTCCTCGACGGGAGCCTCAGCAGGAAGGGCCCAGGGAATGCTTTGGAGTCTGTTGCCCCTCCGTCCACACCTACCAGACAGGGAGGCCGGGGCGGGAGGGTGCTCAGCCACTAGTCCTGGGCCGGGGCACAGAACAGAAATCAAGAGGCTATAAAAACCAAGGGTGGATGGGGGTGGCCAGCTCAGAGGCAGTGTGAGCTGAGTGTGCAAGGCGAGTTCCACCCCGGCACTGCAGGGAGCACCCAGCAGGGGACAACACACACTTTTTAAAAATACTTTTTAAAATTAGAAACAATCATCAGAAAAAAATAGATAAAAAAGGATTTAGAAGCAACAGAAAAAAACATTTTAACAAAGGTGGGAAAAGAAGTAAACCAACAGCAGCAGCGACTTTGAGGGGACGTGTGGTGCGCGGAGCAGCCCGGGCAGCACGTCCAGGTGCTGCGGCTGCCAGCCCAGGGCTGCAGCCCAGCCAACAGATCACCTCTGGGCAGAGCTGTGGCCACCCCCCGCCCAAGTCCCGCCCGAGACCAGCGATGGGGAGCACATAAAGGCAGGATCAGAGTCTCTGTGCAGGAAGGACCAAGGGACAGCCAAGATGGCAGCTCAACCAGGGAAACTGATTTTAAGTTCAAAGGACCTCAAGAGAAGGGACATGTCCGGCGGGGGCTGGGTCAGTGGCAGCGCCTGCCTAGCGTGTGAAGCACTGGGTTCCATCCTCAGCACCACATAAAATAACAAGGACATGCGTCCACCTATGACTAAGAAATAAATATTAAACAAAAACAGAAGGGACGTGTCGACGTGTAGGAAACGTGGAAGGTGTATGCGAATGAGTCGACACCAAGGTGGAGGCCAGCACCACTGCCAGAGGCCCCTGAGCAGAGGGCAGCCCGACAGGACACAGATGTGGCCAGCTGCTCTTCAGGACATCACGGTGGTAAGCAGACAAGAGCCACAGCCGCCTGCAGCCTTCCTCTGTAGATAAAGCCCCCTGGCACACAGCTGTGCCCTCCCGCCCTGTGCTGTCTGGCGTGCTCGGGACTAGGACGGACACTCGCTCTCTGGTCCCTTGGGGAAACACATGCCAGCCCTGCTGTAGGACCCAGCACACTCCCATCTCCTAGATGCCCACAGAGAACACGGAGGAGCTGCTCAGGGTCCCTGGGGGCTGCCAGTCACCTGTGGCCACCACGGATCTCAGCCCAAAGGCTCCAGCGCCATCCAATGCCCAGGTCCCACTCCCAGGCATCCCAAAGCCCCCAGACCCGCAGCACGGCCTCCCCAGGGACCACACTGCCCGGCTGGCCAACACCACACGCTGCGAGGCAGCCGGACTGAGAAGAGAACAATGTGACACTTGGACAGATACAATCGCAGCCCAGAGATCAATAGGAGAATTCCTAAGAGTTACAAGAATGAAATATATTTTTCATTGATTTGTTGTTTTAGACCATTAAGAAGATGGGTAAACGTGTAGAGCAGGGTAAACACTCGGGGCTTGGGCCCCGCCTGCACTGTCCTGGGGAATCAATCTTGCTGACACACCTCCAGAGCAGACCCAAAACACAGAGGGCTCCTCGGCCCAGCACGTGGTTCTCAGCAGATGAGAGCAGAGTCCTCGACCGACCCACCTCGCGCCCCAGCTCTGCTCGGCTGACTCAGTACAGTATCTGGGCTCAAGTTTACTCCCACGGTTGCTTTTAAAAGAATCATAAAAATGTCCAAATCCCTGTTTTTGTTTAAATTGGCCAAGTGGCACCTATTTGCCTGAAGCACTAAAGCAGACAGTGCGGAGAGATCAATCGATGGCAGGAAATGGAGAGGCTGGGCTCCGCACAAAGTTGGGCTGTCCAGCGCTGACATTATTGATTCCACCTAGCTCCACTGGCCTTGTAATTAAAATGTAAATTTGAGAAAGAGATTATGTCCTGACAGAAATGGTAGGATTAAGGGAAAGATAAAAGCCCCTCAGTGGAAATTCAGAGAAAGAAACGAGAAAGAAAAAGAGCCCCGGTCTCCTCGGCTGTGTAGGTTTAGACTAGATCTGACTACTTCAGATTCACCCACGTTTAATTGAAAAAACAGCGACAGAATATAAACTAGTATCATGAACTGGGCTCGCCCAGGCACACCTCCTGCCTGCCCTGCGTCTCCAGGGCTCCCGGGCCGTTTGCCTTTCTCCCACAGGAGGCCAACGGGGTCCCCACCGCCCTGCCCTGGCTCCAGGCCTCATGGCAACCTGACCAGCTGAAGCTGAGCCCCAGGCTTGAAGGGGCCCTGCTGGCCCCCCCTGATTCCGCAATGCAGCCCAGGGCCGGGCAGACAGCGAGACCCTGAACCAGAGAGTCAGAGCACCCCGCTGCACAGCCTCCCTCTCCCATCGGCCTCCACCTGACGCTTCTGGGGAGAGCAGGAGGAGCAGCACTGCCCAGACCCCTAGGCCCCTGTCTGTTAAGGCCAAAGACAATGTTGTAAGCCTTCCCGAGGGAAGGGGTGAGTCTGCACCAAGGAAATGCCAGGGTCTCGCCAAACCCCCTCCCCACAGGCCAGGCCTGCCCACACAGCCTGGACGAGGGGTAGTCACAAAGCAGGCTGGCAGGACAGGAACCAGGAGCCCAGGCACAGGCAATGGGTCACCACTTCTGTGTGATGGATCTCCCCACAATTCAGGAACCAAGGCCCTGCTGAGGCTGCGTCCTCTTCTGGACCAACACACCCCAGCAGGGTGCCCTGCCCTGCTCCTCTGTGCTGGAGGTCAGGCAGGCACAAGAGCCCTGGGCCCCTGAGACACCTCCGTGCAACTGGGCCTCCTCGCAGGGGCACTGGGCAGGTGTCCCAAGGAGCCTGGCAGAGGCCCCTGGCTGTTCACAGCTCAACCCCTTCACTGGATGGACTCCACTGGCCAGCAGACAAGGGGGACACAGGCCACCTCCACACAGGAGGGCCCAAGGACTTTGCTGGTGCCCATCACTCTCCACTGGTGGTCAGCAAGGCCCTGCCCCCATGTGCCCACTGCCTGGAGGGACAGTTAAAGGCCCGTCGAGGGAGCACTCCATGACAGTCTGCCTTTGTGGTCGTGCCACTTTACTGGCCACTCGCAAGCCACAGGCCAGAGGGAACCTCGTCACTCTGGGCTGGAGGACAATGGCCTCTGCTGTGTCCTACTGCGAGCCCTGCGCTACGAGCCGCTGCAGGACGAAGGTTGTGTGAGAGGCAGGTCCTGCCAGTTAGAGGCTGCAGACTAACCCTGAGGACTCAGAAGCACCAACAGGGACACAGAGGCCCAGACCCTGAAAAGTCTGGTGTGACCCAAGCCAAGAGTCACTGCCAGCTGCCAGTTTCCCTGGCAGACTCCAGGACCAGCCCTGGCTCAGGGAGGGGGACAAGGCCACGTGGCAGGCAGGAGGATATCTGGGCAGGCAAGAGCCTAGGCAGGTGCTGTGGCTGCTTAGAGACCTTGGGGTCCTTGGCCCAGGACCAGAGAAAGGAAGGAGCCAACAGGCTGTCTCTGCCTCACTTGTCCCTGTGGCCCTCCGTCCCAGACCCAATAGCCTCAGAGGTAGCCACACTTGAACCAGTGCCTCTCTGCTATCTAGGGCCTGGTCCAGCAGAGGGCAAGGTAAGGTGGGCTGGGGAGGGTGGCCACAGCACCCAGCCGCAGGCTACAGGCACCTCCCAGTACCCATGTCAGTGTGGGACTCAGCTGTGGCCACCCAAGAGAGGCTCTGGCCACGTAGGAAAGGCAGTAATCAGGAGATGGCAAAGGCCACTTCAGGTGGACACTGGTATTCAAAAAGAATGGCAGGTGCGGGGGGCGGGGCTGGGGGCAGGTGGGAGGTCAGAGGGGTCAATGGCTAAGGAGCCTCGAGGAGGCACAGCTGGAGCCCAGACTTGGGGTGGGGTCTGGCCCATGGAGGAAGGCGGGCCGGGGCACAGGGCAGGATAGCACCAGGCAGAGGCAGGTCCTCCGCAAAGCAGGCCAGGCCAGGCCAGGCCAGGCGCCCAGTGAGTCAGGGCAGGAGCTTCCCTACCACACTCACACGACTGAACCCCAGGTGCCCAGCCCCCTGGCCCTGCCCAGCTCAGAAGCAGACGTGTGGGCACACAGCTGTGTGAGTGGAGGGCATTAGCATGTGGTTGTGCTAATTTGGCATGACACCCCTAATGGGTCATGTCTTCACACGCGAGTTGCCTAATCATCTAAATTCTTTTAACAAATCTAAGTTTCATCTCACAGACTTCAGTTCAAACCAACTTGTCAATTTCACCATAAAAGCTAGGGGTCCGGTTTTCAGTTCCTTGCTCTGGACGTGAACACATGACTCCTGTGTGTGCCCTGGGGCCCTGGAACCCACCAGACTCGAGGCTGCCCCTGCCCTGGAGGTCAGGAGCCTGGGCTGCAGAGTGTGACTTTCAGGGGCTCCTAGGTGGAAAGGCCAACTGCAGCTGTGCCACTCCTCACCAGGAACGTGGCCTTGCTGTGGACATCACAGTCCTGGCCCAGACGCCTTGTCCACCTTTAGTGTCCAAGAGGTACGCAGGTTACTTTGACATCCCCAGGAATCGTCCCTAGGGGATAAAAGCCTGAGCATGTGGTATGGCTACCCCCAACCCTGAGAGGCCCAGGCCTCCCCCCGACTTCCTGCCACCACCAGACATGGCTCCGGAGCTGCTGGAACCAGTCCCCCCGACACCTTGGGTCCAGGGAGCCTGCACAAGAGGGCATCCGTCTGCTCAGGGAGCTGCCCACCTCACTCTTGGAACACTCTCCTGAGGCCGCTGTTGGGCAGGAGCACCCAGGAGCTGCAGGGCGGGGCCAGGACCTGCCTCCTCTCGAGCTAGCAGGCCCACTATGGGGTCAGAACCCTGGCCCAGGGCTGGGCAGAGGAGCCGGGGAGCCCACCCTTAAATGAAGCAGTGAACGGCTCAGGGATCTGGAGCGTAGCCAGCAGGACAGGCGGGGCCCCACAGCCCCACCTCCTGTGAGGTCACTGGGCTGCAGCTCCCAGAGCAGGGGCTCCTCCCCAGGCGCCTCCCACTGCCCCCTGAGCTGCAGCCTACCATACTCAGCCCGCAGATGGGCAGGGATGTGGGGCTCATAGCCCTCCTTCTCCGGCACCTCCACAAAGTCCTCGTCGTCCTCCTCATCCTCCTCGTCCCCTGGGGCTTCAGTCTGTGGAAACACCACCAAAAACTAATAAGGACACCCAGACCTGTGAACGCGCACGGGGACTGCCACCCACTGCCCCAGCCCCCTCCACAGCAGCCGGGCGTCAGCATCGAGTGACTGCAGTCCACCCAAGGTCATCTCAGGGCTGATTCTTTTTTTTTTTTTCCCTTTTTTCTTTTTTGGTGGCGGGGGACCAGGGATTGACCTCAGGGCACTCCACCACTAAGCCACACCCCAGCCCTGTTTCCCATTTTATTTAGAGACAGAGTTTCACTGAGCTGCTTAGCGTCTTAGGCTGGCTTTGAACTCATGATCACAGGCGTGTGCCACCGCACTGGCTCAGGTGATTCTTGTCCCTAAAATCTCAGCACCTCTGCACCACTGCCTCTGGCCTTGCCACTCCATGCTTTGGCACATGCTGCCCCATCCTTGCACAGAGCAGTCACACGCAGGTGGACAGCAAATGTCTCTCCCTGCAGTACAGGTAGCAGCCGTCCACCCGCTAGGCAGTCATCTGGACAACACACCATGCAGGAGCTCCCGACGAGGCTACCTCCCCTGCCTGATGTGGCAGCTGGCCTGAGTCCCAGGAGCACAGTGCCGCCACCCACAACTTGGGGAGCAGGAGGCCTGCTTTCCCCTGAGGAAGGCGGGCTCTGGGCACCTCAGCAGGTGGCACCAGAGGCCCATGGAGTCCTTGACATCCCCAAAACAGGAGTCCTGGCCTGCCCTGGGGCTGCTGAGAGGTTCTGCTGATAGCAATGCCCCGGGCCCATCAGCTCACCAGAGCAGACAGCACAGAGGCAGACACCCACCTCGGCGAGCACCTGCAGCACAGCAGAACCAGCCCCTAAGCCACAGCCTCCATCCCCAGGAGCCCTCACACCCAGGACAGGATGCCAGCACAGCAACCAGCAACTGCAGGGACGTGCCCCTCCCGGGAGATCCCTACACTCCAGGGAGCCAGGCTCACCGTCCTGGGCAGCTGAGGGCTGTGCCCCCAGGGTGTGAGGACCACACCATGACCTAGGCACAGGGCTGAAGGAAGCGTCCAGAAAGGCAGGTCCCTTTGTGATGGCAGCCGGGGTCCTCAGGAACACCAGTGGTCCTCACACATGCTTGTTTTTACACCCCCTCCCAACAGGCATTCCACCCCGGCACCTGCCTGAGGGAGGTGATCAGAGAGGAGCGGCTGCGGACCCCCAGGGCAGGAGCCCACAGGCTCCCTGGAAGCCAAGTATCAGCAATTTACAGCTTCTGACCGAACCAGGGAGCTAAGGTGCCCACCTGACCCAGCTCAGCCACTCACCAGCAGCTCCCACAGGTGGCCCCAGAGCCCTCACAGCCCCAGCATGCACGTGGCCCCAGGACACACACACACACACACACACACACACACACAGCCCCAGCATGCATGTGGCCCCAGGACACACACACAGCCCCAGCATGCATGTGGCCCCAGGACACACACACTGCCCCAGGACACATGTGGCCCAGGACACACACACACACACACACACACAGTCTGAGCATACACGTGGCCCCAGGACACACACACACACACACACACACACAGCCTCAGCACACACGTGGCCCTAGGGCCCACACACAGCCCCAGAACACATGTGGACCCCGGGCTGTCTGCCAGCACTACAGCACGGGACTATTGGGGCTGGACTCAACAACCCCACGAGGAGACCTGCCCAGGAGAGTTATAATCAGATGCAAATGCTCTGTGTTTAGGCACAGCCCACGGCTGTGCATCTGGGGAGCACAGGAGACATTAATCATTGGAAACTGTAATTTTTGTTATCAGTCTAACACTGATCAAAAGGGAAGCCTGTCTCCACCGCTGACCTGTGAAACGTCCCAATTATGCTCTTTGGAAATGACAGGGGCACTTAACTCCCGAGCTGAGCAAATGACGACGATCAATCACGTTTGAATAACAATGAGCCACGGACCTGAAAATTATTTTTGTATAGAATCTACCCAGGAATTTATGAAAGGTGGAGAGCAGCCCAAGGTTTTAGGGCTTACGTTCCGGCCGGTGCAGTGCGTATCAAACACTAAACAGAATTTATGTGTTTTAATTTTCTAAAAGGTGGATGTGGACGGGGTGCTACAATGCAGCACACACAGTGCCAGGGTTTAAATATGGGGGTCATTTTCATAAAATATTATGCTTACTGCTCACACCCTTGAATTTCACTGAGGACTTTTATCAAATTTTCATTTTCTAAAAAATATTCAACTGCTCAGCTAACTATTAGGAGTTATACCTTCTTTCTCCCCAACTAAAATCATTTATTTCTGTGATTAAGTTTGAAGTCCTAGGTTCCTCTGTGTCCTCAAACAAGCACTGATCAGGCCCCAGCTTTCTGCTCTCCCTCTGCAGCTGCTGGCCGTGCCCTAGGAGGCCTCTGCCTCTGGAGAGACCCTGGGCTCCGTCCTGGGCCACAGCAACCACGTCATCCACACCTGCACTTTACTTTTCAACTACTCAGAGGCAGTAACACGCGAGCTACAGCAACTAGAAGTTAGAGACTTCACTGCTGATACAAGTTGGCACAAAAGCATCCATTTTCAAGTTTGACTTCACCTCTGTGAGCAAGAGCTGCCGCTCATCCATGTGCTCCATTGCCCTGGACAGGCAGCAACACACCTGCGTCCAAAGGGGCAGGGACAGCTTTCAGCTGCCAGCTGCCAGGGTACTTGAGTGACCTGCTCTGAGACAAGAACACCATGGTGACAAGCAACAGCCCCCTCTCAGACCTCAGAAAGCGGCATGGCCCAGGGAATCTAAGGCCTGTGGAAGACTCCCTTTGAGCACTTGGATTCTAAGAGACTAAATAATCCAGTGAGCTCAGCCACAGCAGTGGTGACCTGCCTTCAAGGTCACAGATTAGGCCAGACAGAAACCGTACAAGGGGGGCCCGCGGCACCACAGCACCCCACTGCGGGGCTGTACAGGGGTGGCTGGACAATGGAGGTGCAGGGAAGGAGTTCACTCCCACCGAGAGCTACAGGGCGACGTCAGACCTGTGACCTGCTCCAGGGCAGCTGGCTTCCACCCACCTGGGAGCTGAGATTCTCCAACTGCCAGAAAACAGCGTGCAGAGGACCCAGGGGAGAAGGAAGGGAGCCTGACAGGTGAAGTCCTCGGCGCCTGGGAGGGGCCAGACCGGGAGCCTGAGCCTGTAGCCAACTGGAAGCCTTATCCCAAGCCAGCTCCAGGGACAGCCCAATCCACCTACTTGGCAGAAGCTTCTACCCAAGGCTGTGGCCATGGGGAGGCCACAGAGGGGGACACTGCTGGTTTTATACAAATTGATTCTCACCCACAGTTAAAAGGATTTAGAAAAATGAGTCCCCACCATCATAATTAAACAAGCAATAAAACTACTAAAATATACAGAGCAATCAGTTTACAGAAGTAGGGGCAGTGAGGTTGCTAATTATTTGCGAAGGAATGGGAAGAACAGCTTGGTGCCCGGAAAGCAGGTTGCCCACCAAGCCCCACGGCCTGGAGATACAGCTGGGACCATTAAATAAATTTTGTACCATCTAATTAACTTGGTGCGCAATCTCAATTACTTTTCACCCAAGAAATCACTTTTGTTCAGTTTTATGTGTGTCTATTTCCCTTTTAAAAAAAAAAATGATGTAAGGCCTCGTCAGACAAGTGAGTTCCAAACTGCATTTGTCTCTCAGGGCTTGATGGCTATGCATTTAAAAACCCATTCTATCTTATAAACTAAAAATTAAACGTGCTCAGCTGTGATGGTCGGCACTGCATCTGCTATTTATATGCTAATGCCCTCCCTGGAAGGCCGTGCAAATTGCCGGCCAGGCCAATATCTCATGTGCATCTCCGACTGCCAGGGACGCACTGTCAGAGGACAGAGGGCGGTCGCACCACTGACCAAATGGACACCCCAGGAGCAGGCCCCTCATGGGCAATGGCACCAAGGCCAAGTCAACCTGCTTGGACATGGGCAGGGCACCAGGAGCACACTCTCCTGAGCCGACCACCACCTTCTGACACAAGCACCTCCGAGGCTGACACTCAGGGACCTCACACCCACACACAGCACAGTGGCAGGCACTTCCCCTCCTCAACTGACCAAATCAGGAGTCAACCTGCCCTGAAGACTGCCAGCATGCACAAGGAGCACCCAGGGCCCAGGGGCCAAGAGCCTCATCCAGCTGGGGGCAGGTGTGAGGCAGAGCCCCTGGATCATGCGTGCATACAGTGTTTCTAGAGTAAGGGTAGGGCCGAAATCTCCGCTGGGTGAAGACAAGCGGCCAGCCAGAGGCACACACTTCTGTAAGCCAATGAGGGCTGGTGGTCCACACAGACTCCCTCCCGTGGGTGGCTGGACTTGGGCCAGGACAGCTGGTTTTCCTGGGAGTCTGCACCACAGGTATTCCTGCACAGGGGCGGTGTGAGGGGCACAGAGCAGGAGGGTCATCACGGGTCATTTGGACCTTACAGAAACTCACATTGGACCCAGTGGAGGACAATCGCCTCATGGAGCAACCAACGTCTCCATATCTAGTAGCTCTGACCCCCAGGAGCTCTGGCCCCCACGAGCTCTGTGGAGACAGCTACTCTGGCAGAGGATGAGGAAGACCCAGACTCACCCACTCTGGGGCCCATGGCTCACACAGTCCCACACAGGCATGTGAAAGGCCACCTGCTGCAGCCCAACCTCCCCAGGCAGAGACGTGGCCAGCAGGCAGCCCCTGGGGAGCGAGAGACAGTGCTCAGAGGACAGGCATGGGCGGGGAGGTGTCAGGCAGCCTTGCCTGGCATCCAGGCAAGGTCTTGGTCTTGGCAAGGAGGCCAGGCCCACAGAGGTTCCCCATCTATAAAATGGGGGTAACAAAGCAATCCACCCCAGGAAGTGTCTTCTGGAACCAAGGGGACCAGGCGTGGGCAGGCTGGAAGGGCACCGGCTGGCTGGGGAAGGTGCCTGGCTGAGGTGGCCTGCCATGGGGCCAGGAGGGGGCTCCATGCCGTAGGGCTGGGAGGGCAGCCAGGCCCAGCCTGTCCTTTCAGAGCCTGTCCTTTCAAAGCACCAGCGCACCCGCCCCTCCCCCGGCACCCTGGGAGGCAGCGTGGCCTTCAGCGTGATGGAAGGAGCTGGATCACCCAGGAAGGCTACAGAAGGCGGCCGCCACGGCAGAGGCTTCCTGGAGGCGAAGCTGATTGACCGTCCCTGTGTGTGTCTGATGGGCCAACATTTCATTCCCTGGGCTTTCTAATTCTGTCCTCCTCACCTAGGGAACCAGATGCTACGAGGGCTTGGGCAGCAGCACAGGAAGCTCCCGACCCCACAGCCAGGGGGAGAGGCTGGCAGCTGGGGTTGGAGGCAAGTCGGTGAGGGCAAGGCCAAGCCCACCTGCTGGCCAGCGACACAGGGGAGCCCGCAGCCTGACCACAGGGAAGAAGGCAAAGCACTGCCCACAGGGCCAGGTGACAGCGCCTCAGAATCACTGTTCTCTGACTCACTCGTTGGTGGGAAATTAGTATTTTGTTAATTACACAATAAGAAAATAACCGTTGATTCAAGCTACACAATTAAAAGCAGGCAATTTAAAAGTTTTCAAAGGATCTTTATCAGTTTAACGGACGAGGCAGCTGGATCATTACAGCCCGCCTGAAACAGAGCAACGTGGAAACTAAATCTACCCAATGACCCTCCATATTGATCCAGCCACGATTCACCCCCGTCTGCCCCACACGGAGCCGACACGGAGACACTCTATCAGACAGACACTTAAACATATTTAAACTGGCTTACGTATTTTTCTGAGGACAGAGCATCTATGTCAAAAGGAAAACAACACTATGTAGACAACAGGCGACAGGCAGAAAGAGGACGTGGGAAACAGACTGCAGCGGGTTGCAGGCAGGCTGCCCTCCCCCTACCCCTCGGCGCTGGGAGTGCCCAGGGCCTGGCGGTGGCCACTTGGCTCTAAGTGGGCGTCATGTCTGTCTCAGTCTCTCACGTCTGTCAGAAGTTCTCAGATGTCTGAATCACGCATTATTGAATTAGTGCTCCCCACCTAGCCTGTTCTACACGCGGAGTTAACGATGCCAATCCCATGCTAAGTGGGGAAACGTAAGGGAAACAATTTAAACCCTTCGTAAATTTTATTTGAAAATTAGTGAAGAACACCTCATTCATAATTTCTAATTAAAACAGCTCTAATTAACACTGATGTTCATTAGCTGCTTCACCCCTGCCCAAGCCGCTGCGGGTGCTGCAGCTCTGCAGGGAGGGCCGCCAGCAGGAGGGAGATGGGCAGATAGGCCTGCCTGTGCTGGCTGCCGCCTCTATTCTGGGAAGCGACTCACCTGAGCCTAAGCGGCTGCAGCCAGAGCTCTCCAATCACTCCATCTGCGGGCGGCTCCTCTGCCGCTGCGCGAGAAACCTCTGAGGATTTCAGAGTGCCTTTATTAGGATCAGTGTGTGGAGAGGGTCCAGAAAGCGTCCCTTCAGCTGACAGCAGAGCAGAGTGACATCTGTCTTCCCACTGAAGCTGGGACACCATCAACCTTGCAGGGCCTGATAGGCCCTGCACACTCACAGGAGCAGCCTGGGCAGGAGTCTACTGCTCCTGAAGAGCAGCCTGGGCAGGAGTCTACTGACCAGACCACGTGGCCAAAGGACACCCGCAGCCCCTCACTGCCCATGCACAACACCCTGTGTGGCCCTGCCCTCCAGCAGCAGGTCCTGCAGGCCCTGGGCAGAAGTGGGGATGAGTCATCTACTCTGACAGTATCAAAGGACACACTGAGTGGAGTCAAAGCAGGGCCAACAGCCAGAGTGCACAGTGGAAAGCAGGGGCCATGCAGTGGCCTGAGGCTGTGTACCACAGAGGGCCAGGTAGACAGCTCCGAAGGGCTGGATTTGGGACTCCAGTGTCCACAGCCCACGAGAGCTTCAGGATGGGCCCTGTGAGCCACAGCCAGAATAGAAAGGTAGCTACACCAGTGGGCCCAGTCCCATTCACCCACCCTGGGACACAGCAGACCTGAGCACCAGCATCTGGAAGGGACAGGGCAGCTGGCAGGAGTCCAGGGCAAGCAGAGGTCAAGGAAACCAGACCTCCTGGGCCTGCGGAGGGAGGAGGCACACGACCAGGTGTGGCCAGGACTCAAGTTTCCTCAAGCACATGGCAAAGTCAGCAGGTGTGGTGGGGCCAGGACACAGGCTACCTACCACGCAGGACAGCCTGACCCTCTGGTGTGCCAGGGACACCAGCTTAGCTCAGAGCCCCGACCCCTCACCACAGTGCAGGCTGAACGGCCAGCAGCCCTGGGAAAGACTTCCGGGGACCCTCCCCTAGTCAGCCGCACCTGCGGGAGGCACCGTGGGGCTCCGAGAGGAGAGCAGGGGCAGCAGCGCTCCAGGGGCCCTGCTGACAGAGCCTCAGGCCAAGGAGAGCAGCCAGCTGCCGTGACCCTTCTGGGCTCAGGTCCTGCCACCTTCAGCACTGCCACTAGCCCCAGAAGACCATGCAGGCTGATCATACCTAGGCCTGATGAGAATGGACCCCAGCAGCCCGGGAAGCCTGTAGACATCCCCAGGACACCAAATGTCCAAGGACATCCTTGCCACAACCAAGGCCATCAGCAGCAAAATGGCCATGGGCTGAGCCCTGGACAGCACGAGTGCACACCACACAAGGCCGCCTCCACACTCAGCATAGCGCTGGGGGCCCACCTGGCCTTCACTCTGCACCCAGCACTCTGGCTGCTCGGAGTGCTGGTGCCCTGCGGTCTAGAGTAATCTCCTCTGACTGAGTAGGTGACAGGCACCTTCCTCCCACCAGACAATTATTTTTCACCGTAAATATATTTTGGTCAAAACTGACAAAGCTGACTCCTTAAACAAGCAGCATGCCACACACAGTGGACTCTAGTGAGGCAGAACGAGCGCCCACAAAGACTCCTGTCCCTAAGCTGCACAGCGCAGACTCCTGGGGTTTGCAGGAGAGAAGCAAGGTCGCCCTCTGGTGGGCCTGAGGGCCACACACGGCCTCCACAGCCAGGGATCTCCCAGCGGCTGCTCAGGTAGGGGTTCCTCCTCTCGGGTTCCAGAACTTCTGGCACTGCATTGCCACCCCAGGTCTGCTGCCAGGGCACAGTATGGTCATACCACACAGGGCAGGGCACCAGGGATGCCAGCCACAGCATGAGCTGACTGAGCTCAGCTTAGAGCCCTGACCTGGCAGCTGCATGCACATTCACCATCGGTGGGCAACACGTATGCCCACTCCTGGTCTGGGCTCTGCGTGGCCTGCAACTTCATCTTTTTCTTGGCAAGAAACAGAGTTATTTCCACCTCAAAGCTACCTTTGAGAAAGGGGGAGGTTCTGGGCTGGGACTGGGGCTCAGTGGCAGAGCACTTGCCTAGCACGTGTGAGGTACTGGGTTCAATCCTCATCACTGCATACACAAAATAAATAAAAAATAAAGTTATTATTTAAAAAAAGAAGTCTACCTTCCCCGGGCCAGGGCTGGCACCCTCTCCACTCAGCTGGGTGTGGTTCTGGGTTCCCTAGGGACCCAAGGAGAGGTGCATCTGGTGTCTATTTTCTCAGCTTCTCTGAGAGCAGGTGAGAGACCAACCAAAGGCAGGAAGATGGCATCTGCATGTGACAGTTCTCTTTCACATGGCACAACAAGCCCCAGTGCAGCATCCTCTCCCTGCCACAGCCCCCAAGCATCTCTAGGCAGGAATACCACCCTCACTTGCTCTCAGGCTGCTACAAGCTCACCTGCCTCCTCCAGCCAGCTCCAAGGCATCCAGTGCCAAGGACCTTGTGCTCCAGGGTGGATGCCTGGCTACACCCTAGCCCACTGCCTGGAGGCCCAGGCTCAGCGTCCAGTCCTCCCTCAGCCGGCCTGTGGCTCCCACCTCTCAGCCCCATCTAGAGACCCTGCCCTGCTCTGGTGGCATGCGGTTGCTCAGGGAAGCCCAGGAACCCCTGTTGCCTCTCCAACCACAGAGGGCCCATTCCTCTCTCATCAATGCCATGGTCCCTCCCAGGCTAAGGTGCTACACAGTCCAGCAGACGGCTGGTCTTTGAGTCTCCATCCCCAAAGTGGGCACCCTGCCCCAGCTCACCGTGGTGCCCATCAGTACACAGAACCCACTCTGCTGGAGACTCCACAGAAGCCCCATCCTTCCCTAAGCAGGAGGGGCACAGCCTGACTTGCAGGGCTCCCTGGCTACAGTGCAGGGTAAGTGGACAACACCCAGTAGCAGGAGCCATGTTGCCACTATATAGTGAATGAGCTCACATGTCCACTATGGGGCGGGCCCTGCTGGGCTGTGGGGCATGTCCACATGTGGAGCATGGCTGGGCTCTGGCACCAGGAGACGCCAGTCGGGCTCCCACTGCTAGGCCAGCAGAGTGAGAGAGGAGCCTGAAGCAGCTCCTGCTTGCACAGGCAGCTCAGCCCGGCCCCAGACCTGCCGGCCCACCACGCACACACACCTCCCTCCTCCGCCCCGGACCTGGACCTGCCGGCCCACCAAGCACACACACCTCGCTCCTCCGCCCCGACCTGCCGGCCCACCACGCACACGCACACGCACACACACCTCGCTCCTCCGCCCCGGACCTGGACCTGCCGGCCCACCAAGCACACACACCTCGCTCCTCCGCCCTGGACCTGGACCTGCAGGCCCACCAAGCACACACACCTCCCTCCTCCGCCCCGACCTGCCAGCCCACCACGCGCACACACCTCGCTCCTCCGCCCTGGACCTGCCGGCCCACCAAGCACACACCTTGCTCCTTGGTCCCCACTCAGGCTGCACGTGAAGCTCCTCATACTTTCTCAGCGCAAGTTCCAGTTTTGCCTTCAAGTCGATGGCACACCGTAAGTGTCCACCATGGGTCCCTGCTCGGGTAAACCTCTGCAGAACAAGGAAGAAGTCACAGAGAACACAGACCCTGCCAGGAGACAACATGGCCTGGTCTGTAGCCCTGGGAACAAATGGTCAAGGACACCTGGCTGACCCCCTAGGTCACCCCAAGGACAAGACCCACATCTGGCACTTTCCACATGTCCTCCTTCCATCCTACGGCTCCCGCCAACTACATCTTCACTCTGCCCGGGCACTGGCCTGACAGGGACAGCTTTGAAGGCCAGGTGCCCAGCCTCACCTGGACCCAGGAGCACACAGCTGGCAGGAACTTGTTCTGGATGAGCTTGATTGCATCGCGGGCAGCATGGAGGACAGCAAGATTGTCATCATTCTCTTGCACCTTCAGACCGTCTGGAATGAGGTGAATGGGGGTCACAAGAGACCCTGAGGCCAAGAGGCTACAGCCCACAGGGAAATGCTGGATGCCCACCCAGGCCAGCTGAGTGTCGACAGAGCTCACTGCTGTGTGGTTCTGGCCCTACACACATCCTTCCTGCACCCACCCTGCCCAGGGCCTTGCTGGAGTGGGCTACAGATGGCAAACAAGTCCATATGCTTTCTGTGACTGGCCTGTGGCCACAGAGGCTGGTAAAGTGGGCACAGCCCAGTGCAGAGGATAAATGGGAAGGAAAAGCCTGCATGTACCCACTGTAGGCCAGACTTGACATGGCTGTGGGTCACCTAGGCCGCGGGCTGGCACAGCAGTGGCCCACTAGCCAGCGGAGCCTGGGCAGGGAGGCACCAGCAGACCTGGTGGCCCCTTACCCAAGGGCAGTTCCACGTCCAGCGAGTACTTGTGTGAGCCCAGCCCATGGCTGCGCACAAACTGCTCCCCGCTGCACTCGTCCTGGGGCGCATCCTCCACGGCTGCCTGGCAGCCCTCCCCAGCACCAGCGGCCCCTGAGTGTTGCGCAGAGGCAGGCAGGTCCTTGCTGCAGCACGGCTGCTCCTCGTCCTCCAAGGGGTCCCCTGTGGCTGCCTGGGGCGGCCCCTCCCCAGCACCAGTGGCCCCCGGGTGGTATGCAGAGGCGGGCAGGTCCTTGCTGCAGCATGGCTCATCTGGGGCATCAGGAGTGCTTGACCAGTGAGGGACTTCCCAGTCTGAGCTCAAGGAACCAGGGGGACCCTCATCAAGGAAGCTGGCTTCTGGGCACGGGTCAAAGTCCAAAGGCACCAGCAGCCTGAAGCAGTTCTCCACTTCCGTCAGACAGCACCCAACTTCTGCAGACATCTCTGCCGAGACATGGAGACACATCTGGCCTCATCACACTGAGCGAGGAGTATCCCCACCACACACTGCGTCGAGGTCCTGGTCACTGTTAGCACCAGGCAGCTAAGGGTCACATGTGCCACCTGCACCCTTGGGCCTCACTTCCCAAGAAAAGCCAACACCCAAGGTAAACGTATCACAGCAGCTTTCACCTGCTTACTAAACTGTCCAGCTGGCAGGACTGCAAGGTCACCTCTTGGCAGCCCGCAGGAGCACAGGCAAACACGCCAGGGACCAACTGCAGAGCAGGGAGCCTTCAGCCAGAGCAGTGCATCCCAGAGAGGGCTGAGCCTCTCCCAGCAGTCACTTCTGCCAACATCAAGCCACACCCTGCAGGGCTGGGCCAGCTCTCCCTCCTGGTGGCCTCTCTACCATCTGGGCACAGCTGCCTGCCTACAACAGGCCCTGGGGGGTCTGGGCACAGAAGAGCATCAGCCTCGCTGTCTGAGACACAGAGCAGCTGCCCTGGCGGGTCTTGGGCACCCTGCAGGTGGACGACTATCCCCTAGATCTTCTGATTCCCCACACCCTGTTCTCTCCCTCAAGAAAAGGCTGGCTGCCAGAACGTACATCGTAGGGATTTGGGGGGTGGAAGCTGGGTTAAGAGCAAATGGGGAGCTGGGTGCAGGGGTACATATGTAATACTAGAAACTCGGGAGGCTGAGGCAAGAGGATTGCAGGTTTGTGGCCAGCCTCAGTAAAATTACCAAGGACTAAGCAACTCAAAATTTAAAAATTTTAAATTACAATAAAAAGGGCCAGGGATGAACTTCAGTGGCAGTGCACACCTGGGTTCAATCCCCATTACTAAAAAAAAATAGGTAGGGGAGAGGGAGGTGAATGGTGGATGGGAGACAAAACGGCAAGGGGACCTTCAGCAGACCCAAGCACAGACCACTGGAAGCTCTCCACTCAGTCTGTGCCCAGGGAGCCTCCCCAAAGGGCCACAGACAGAATTCACCACCAGGGGGCGCAGGGGTGCAAGCGCCTGTGCAGGGACTGCCCAACCTGAACCCTAGCCTGGCCTGCCTGGGTCTCCTGTGACCAGGGTCCTGGGAGGATGCATAGGCACAGGCAGCCCTTGGTATGTGCGAGGCACCCTCAGCCTCGAACTTGCCTTCCATTTCCCTTTCGGCCTGCTTGGCTCTTTCTCTGTAGATTCTATCCAAGTGCCTCTGCTTTTGCTCTTCTTGCTGCCTTTCTGCCAGAGTCCTCCCATTTACATCCTGAAAGTCCACCTGGGAAACAGAGAAGATCAGGGCTGTCCACAACAAACACTCACCAGAGAGCAAACAGCCACCACATGAGCATGCAGCAGGCCTCAGCAAGGGGAGACACCATCATCTTAACAACAGGATATATGCTGAACTGCGATGCTTCATCTTGAGAAACTCGCGAGTCTACCACTTCAGATAAAAGAGGTGTGAACTCCCAGCCCTGGCCAGGTGCCATTGATGCAGGCCTGTTGTCCCAGTTACTTGGGAGGCTGAGGCAGGAGGAATACCTGGGCTCAGGAGTTCGAGGACAGCCTGGGAAAAACAAAACCCCACCTCAAAAATAAAATTAAAAAAGACTTCCAGCCACAAGTGCAGCACAGGTGGGAGTACAGGAGGCAAACGGGCTGCTGTCTGGACCCCAGAGCCCAAGCACCACCTGAGTGTGCACCCCAGGAGGTGGCACGCCAGTGGGTCAGAGGGAGAGCTGGTTCTCTGGCCCACAGGCAGGGCCACCTGTCCACAGAGGGCAGGGGCAAAGCAAGGTCTGGGCAGTGACAGAGTTGGGTTGGGATCACAGCAGCAGGTCCTGATGGATTTCATCATGCCCAGAACCCATTAGAGCCAATGGCAGGATCCAGGTGGGGACTCTTAAGAACATAGGTAGGGAAACTCCCAGAAGACAGTGCCTGTCACAGAACAGGGCTGAACAATCAAAGGTGACACAGGCCTACAGGCTCAGCTTGATGCACACTTGGGCACAGCTTGTCTTCCTCAAAGATGTTCCTCCCCTCCCAGGCCCCAAGCAGGTCCAGCAACCCAGGTACCTAAGCCAAGCTGCCCAACAACATGGCCTGGGAGCACTCTGTACTTGGCTCCACAGTGAGAGGTCTTCCCTCCCGGGGCCTACCTGCTCTGCCCCAGGGAACCAGCAGCACTGTGCAAGGCCCACCTACCTTTTTGGTGTGTTTTAAGAAGTGGTGGCCCAAGGCTAGCTTCTTGTAGGCCTCACCAAACCTCTCATTCCACCCTTCCACAGCGCGCAGGGCTGCCTGCCTCAGCCTCTGGGCTGCCTCTCTGGGGGGCGGCAAGGGCTGCTCATGGTTGGTGCCCAGTGTGAGCTCCAGGAACTCCTGGAAGTCAGAAACAAGCAGCACCCTGAACTGGTGAGACCTGGTGAAGAGCTCATCCACGATCTGGAAGGCGGACAGGCGGACCTCAGCATGGTCCTGGGTCAGCTGTGTTTTCAGCAGGCGGTAGGCACAGCTGAGCTGCTCCTCTGAAGACCTGGGGGCACAAGCCAGCCTGAGCTCAGCACCTGGTACTTGAAGGGTCAGTTTACACTCACACAGGACGCACTATTTACATATAGTGGGGGCCACAGCTGCTGTCCAGGCTTCCTCTTCCCCTTCTCCTAGAGCTAGGTAAGCAGACCAATGTCTTGGCACGAATGAGGCCCCTCAACTGTGCCTCTTTTTGTGTGGCCCACAAGCCCAAACTGTTTCCTACATTTTTAAATGGTTTAAAGAACTGCTCAGTGGTGCACTTGCCTGGCCTGCCCAAGGCCCTGGGTTTGAGCCCCAGCATGGCAAAACAAATAAGTGATCAAGACACATGAAGGAATGATTCTTGATGTGGGAAAGTTATGAGTGCCAAGTATCAGTGCCATTTATAAAGTTTTATTAAAATGCAGCCCTGTCCCAATGTCCATGTCCACAGCTGCTCTTAGAGCTGCGTGGTGTCAGCAGGGACCTCAGCCTCAAGTATTTTTCATCATCCCTTCACAGATGCTTCCTCACCACTCAGGAGCACCACAGACTAGCTGAGTGCACAGACCCAGCCTCTTCTGCAGGAAGTGAGGGGAAGGCCCATGGAGCCCTCTGGGTGTCGCCTCTCCCCAGCCCTGCCCTGTGTGAACCCCAGAGATTTAGGAGTTTTCAAGGACCTGCAGCAAAACTGTGTCTGAGTTGGAGTTTCTTACTGAAAGGTACACAACATCAGTTTTGTTCTTTGAACACAGGTTCATGTTCCCAGCAAATGACAGGAAGAAGTTTTGCTTCCTGCCTGATTCTGGGGATGGATGATGGATGCATTCTAAAGACAGAGTGGCTGGGTGTGATTCAGGGATAGAGTCCCTGCTTAGCATGCACAAGGCCCTGAGCTCCATTCCTAGCACCACAACACACACACACAGCGCAGATCTACCCAACTGTGAACGTTCTCCCTTCCCATGTTTCAACAGTAATAAAAGAGGTACATTTGCCCACAGATCACAGATACACCCAAGAATGCCTCAGTTATATGCTTTGTAACATGCACATATAGAAAGTATCAGAAGTACCAAGCACAGACCTCTCTGTGCTCTGCTGACCTGCACCTCCACCCACAATGCTGCCTGTCAGAGACGACTTTGCAGGGCCTGGGGAATGTTGCTGGCCTGGTCCAGGCGGAGGCGGGAGGGGATGGCTGAGATATGGAGGTGGGCAAAGTGCTGAGGTCCAAGAAAACCCCACAATCTCCCTAGAGTCAGGGGCTTACTGGGATAAATATCATGAAATGCTAAGCCTAAAGACATACTTGCACATTTTCTTCAGTTCCTTCATTTTCTCAGGATTCAGTTGGGGTTCTCCTGAAGTTGTGAGCTCTTCTACCAACTTTAACAGTTTTTGATCCATGTCTAGAAATACGGAACGCAGAGATGAACTGCCACCTTACTTTACCCTCTTGGTCTTATAGATAAATGCTACCGGGTTCGCCTAAATAGTGCGCACCGCGGGAGGCCCTGAGGCTGTGTCCAAGGCTCTGGCCTCCGCAGAAAGACGCCCTAGGAAACAGGGCAGCTCCAAGCACCGTTAGGGCGAGTCAAGAGTCCCCGGTGACGATCTGGAAGTGTCAAAGCCGAGCCTAGATCGGGACAACCAAGCCACGGTGCGGGAGACGCTGCCGCACCGGGGACAGGCAGGTGCGGAAGGTAACGAAAGCCACCGTCTTACACCAACGCGCGGGGAGTGGAGGGCCCTGCTGCCAGGCAGCGCAGCGAGCGCAGAAGCGCGCGGCCTCGGGACCCCGGGCCGGCTGGGTGCGACACCCGCAACTGCGCGGCCGACACGGAACCTACCGCATCGCCCGCCCCTTCCGGCAGAGGCCCCGCCCCCGCCGCCCACCACGCGTCCCGGAGCTTTGAAGCCATTGGCTCCCTGATACCGCGGCGTGGGAGTAAAGGTCAGTTCTGCAACCACCACACCTACAGCGCGAGGCACCACCATCTCCCCGCCCCTTCCGGAGGAGACCCCGCCCACCCCTTCAAGGCTCGGAGCGAGGCAACCCTCGTCTTGACAGCGCAGGCGCTAGGGTGAGGCCGACCTCGCGCAGTGACGCTGGCGCGCTCCCTGCGAGGCGGGGCTGCCCTAGGAGGTCGAGGCGCGAGAAAAATGAAGCAGGAGGGCGCAGCAAGTCCTTAAAGGCGCCGCGGTGTAAAAGGGGCAGGACGTCTGGGTCGACAACTCGCTAGGAAACTCTGACCCAGAGAGAGGTTTGAGCCTGGACAGCACGGCACGTCCGCCAGGAGGCTCGCGGCCCTGCCCCTGAAAGGTCAGCGAGGGCGGCCCAGGTGGGAGCCTCGGGCTTGTCTGGGCCTTGGTACCGCGGGCGGGAGGGGAGCCGGGGCGGAGGCGTTGGGTGTCACGACGCGGCGCGCGGGGTAGGGGCGGGGTCGGCGGGGTGAGGCGCCCGGTTCCCCTCTGCGGCGTGAGTTTGCCCAGCCTAAAGGTCGCCCACCAGCCGGCACGTGCTTTGCTTCCCTCTGCCAAAATTCCTTGAAAGCTCTGTCCGCCGCCCCGGGCGGGAAGCCGGGATGGCTCCTCCTCCCACCACCCGGGGCACACCTGCCGGCGCCCGGCGCTGCTGCTCAGGGCCGGTAGTCCACGCCGCAGGGCCTTTCCACTCCAGGCCTGGGAGCCCCAGCCCTCTCTTCAGAGCACTCCAGGTTTCAAGCACGTCCGGGACCAGCTGCCAGCCCGCCCTCGGCCCTCGCAGCTCTGGAGGGCACTCGTCGTCGGCGGGCAGAGCGCGCCGGGCTTGCCGCCCACCTGCCCTGCCCCGCCCCGCCCCGCCCCGGCGGCGCGGAGAGCCCACTGCGCGGCCCACAGCCCCTCCCAGCCCGCACCCTTCTGTGGCCTCTGGCCCACACTGCAGCCCCGTCTTCTTAGCCGCCTCCATGTTCCTGATCTCACCTGCGCACCTCCTTTCCGCCCTCGGGGCTGCTCCTGAGAACTGGGGTCTTTCTAGCTTCATGATGAAGCACATAGTCAGGCATTCGGATCTCTTGAATGGAGAGTGAAATGAGAAGGCCAAGGTGAATCTCGGTGAGAACTAGAAGATGTTTTAAAAGAACCAGTGGAAGCCAGATGTGGTGGTGCACACGATGTCCCAGCTGTCCAGGGATTGAGGCAGGAGGATAGCTTGGGCCCAGGTGTCCGGGTCAGTCTGGGCCTGAACTTGTCTCCAAAGGGGGGAAAGAACCAACTGGAATTTTCAGAGATTTATTATTTAAAAAATGCAAGCTGGAAAAAAATGGAACTTCTTTAAAGAAGTAAAAGTATGGTCAGCTCAGACTTGCAAGCTGACCTTCAAAACCTAAGTGATAGCAAAAAATGTATGCGCAGACATTCACACAACAAAACCACCTGACAGTGCGGAACACCCCATGTTGTTAAGTGGTGTGACCATACCCTGAACCCCTAGAGCAACTGTAAAGAAAGCGGCAGGGCTGGGGATACAGCTTGGTGGTAGGGCAGCATGTGTGAGGCCCTGGGTCCCGTCTCCAGCACACATACAGATGTGGGACTGCTAATGAGTATGCAAAGACAGAGGTGTCTTTTAAAAGTAATCAAAAATGAAGCTGATGAAAAAGAAATAGGTAAGAAAAACAGGAAATAAGTTGTAATACAGCCAATCTGAATCTACAACAGTCACCATGTCAGTGATCTGAATGCCCTGGTTACAAAGGAGAGATCAGGGCTAGGACTGGGGCTCAGTGGCAGAGTGCTTGCCTTCCACATGTGAGGCACTAGGTTCAATCCTCAGCACCACATACAAATAAAATAAGGGCATGCTGTCCATCTACAACTATAAAAAGAAATTTTAAAAAATACTGTCATGTATATCTAAAAATGATTTAAAAATACACATACACACAGAAATACACACACACACACACACACACACACACACACATATATATATCACACCCCCCCGCCCCCGGAAACGCCAGGTACAGTGGTGCACACCTGGAATCCCAGCAACTCAAGACAGTTGAGGCAACTTAGAATTGAAAACACCAGTGACTTAGCAAGCCCTAGTCTCAAAACAACATAAATAAAAAGGTATGGGATGTGGCTCAGTGCCAAAGCACCCCTGGGTTCAATTCTCAGTACCAAAAAAATTTTAAATAAAAAATGGAGATGGTCCAGTTAGTTTAAAAAGAGCAAGACCAAACTATATTGTGTCTACAAGAAACATGGAGAGGCTAAAAGGGCCACCACAGATGCTGTGTGCAGCAGCACAAGTGAAGGATGAGTCTGTTGACTGCACTGGTCTCTCCCTGGGGGCATTCTGTGGAAGGGGTGAGTCCTTTCAGCAGACTGCAACTGTGCGGGCAAACTCCAGACACAGGCACTGAGACCTGACCTACTGCGTCATTAATATTACCTGTAAGAAACTAGAAAGAGCAATTAATCAGAGTAAGTTGCAGTAGAGATTAATAAGGTTGAGATCAATTGAACAGAAAATAGGCAAAAGGAGGGGTGTCACTCAAACCAAAGGAGGTTTATTAGTCAGCTTTTGTCACTGTGATTAAAATGTCTGACAGGAACAACTTAAGGAGGAAAGACTGACACCATCTCCTGGGTTCAGAGTCCTCAGCCGCTCCCTACTCTGGGCCTGAGGAGAGGCAGAATGTCCTGGTGAAAGCTGCTCAGCTTAGGGCAACCAGAGGCAAGGAGGGTGGGCAAAGAAGATAAGCCCTCCCAGGGCACACACCAGTGACCTGCTCCAGCTGTCCCATCTGAACAGTCCCTTTGGCATCGATAGACTAATCCTTTTATGTGATCAGAACCTTCATGATCCAACCACTTTCTGAATACGTGAGATGGGGTCGGTCCAGATCTATGCTGTAACAGGAGATGTTTGAAATGAACAAATAAGCCTTCAGCTAGACAGAGAAAAAGAAGAAATAAATTACCTATGAGAGTGACAGGAGAAGCTGGGCACATCCCAGCAACTTGGGAGGCTGAGGCAGGAGAATCATGAGTTCAGAGCCAGCCTCAGCAACTTAGCAAGACCCTGTCTCAAAATAAAAAAGGGCTGGAGATGTGGCTCAGTGGTTAAGCCCCAGTGGGTTCACACCCTGGCACCCAAAAAACAAAAAGAATGAGAGAGGAGACATCACTGCAGATCCTGCAGACAACAGAGCATAAGTTACGAACATTAATTCCAGAAGTTTTCTCTTAGATGAACAAACTATCAGAATACTTGGGGTGGGGGGAACTGATCAGTCACAACTATTAAAGAAACTGAGCTCATACTAAGTAAGAAACCCTTGCAAACAAAATTCCAAAACTCGATGGTTTCACTGGCAAATTCTATCAAACATTTAAGAAAATGGTACCAGGTTTACACAGAATCTTTCAAGAAAGGAGGTTAACACTCTCCGACTCATGAGTTTTGAATGCTTTTGTACTAAAACCAGACAAAAACATTCCCAGAAGCAGGCACAGGGGCACACTCCTGTAATCCCAGCAACTTGGGAGGCTGAGGCAGAAGGATCTCAAGTTTGAGACCTCAGCAACCTAGCAAAACCTTGTCTCAAAAAATAAATGAAAGGGCTGGGGATGTGGCTCAGTGGTAGAGCACTCCTGGGTTCAATCCCAAGTACCACAAAAATAATAATTCCAAGAAAGAATGACCACAGACCAATAGCCCTCATGAATATAGTTGTAAAAATCCCTAGCAAAGCTAGAGCAAGTCAAATCCAGCAATATATGAAAACAATGCAACATGACTGAATGAAATTTATTTCAGTCATGCAAAATTCAGTAATTCAAAATTAGTCAATGTCTGGTAAGCAGAATAAAGGAGAAAAATCATGGTAATTTCATTCTACAAAGGAATTTTTAAAAACAAAATTCAATGTTCCTTATAATAACATCTAGAAAACTGGCGTGGAACTTCTCAACCAGATGAATGATGTCTGTAAACGCTCTATTTCAGTGTGCAAGACGCAGTGCTTTCTGCCTAACAGGGCACTAGACACCGTTCTTACACCTCATCCTCAATATCGCTCTGGAGGCTCCAGGAACTGGTAATAAAAGTGAAGTAAAGAGGTTTGAAGGGGAGAAACAGGACTGTTTGGAGGTGACATAACTGCACACATGGAAAACCTCAAAACTTTACCTGAAAGCTACTAGAACTCATGAGTGAGTAGGGTCACAGTAGTCACAAGATCAATTAACAAATACTGATTGTGTCTACATATTTCCACTGAATAATTGAGAGGTAGATTTTATTGGTGGGCCTTTAATCATTTATATGTGGTGCTGAGAATTGAACCCAGTGCCTCACACATGCTAGGCAAGTGCTCTACCACTGAGCCACAACTCCAGCCCCGAGAGGTAGATTTTAAAAATTAAGAATCATTTTTAAAATTAAGAAAGACCCAGCAGCTCAGGAGGCTGAGGCAGGAGGATCACAAGTTCAAAGCCAGTTTCAGCAATGGTAAGGTGGTAAGGAACTCAGTGAGACTCAGTCTCTAAATACAAAATAGGGTTGGGGATGTGGCTCAGTGGTCAAGTGCCCCTCAGTTCAATCCCCAGTACCAAAAACAAACAAAAAAAACCTGAAGTTAAATCAATTAAATATGTTAAATTTAGGTAAGAGTAAAAATCTAAACTTCATGAAGAGATGCAGCATATTTATGGGTTGGAAGACTCAATGTCTCTTATGGATTCAACTGTGTCCCTCCCAAATTTCCATGTTGAAGCTCTGACCCCCAAAGTGACTGTGTTTGGAGACAGGCCTTTAAAGAGGCAATGAAGGCAGGCTGGGGTTGTGGTTCAGTAGCAGAGCGCTTGCTTCACACATGTGAGGCACTGGGTTCGATCCTCAGCACCACGTTAAAAAAAGTAAACAAAATAAAGATATTGTGTCCATCTATAGCTAAAAAAAAAGAGAGAGAGTGTTAGAGTCTGTAAACAAGTCTGGATGGCGCCTGGCATTTCGCCAGAGGGAGTGGTTTGTGAAGTAATGCCAGTGAGCCATTAAGTGTGGAGATTCCTTGTTGGTTGACTGCTGTATCAAGTTTATGTTAATTAAGATAAGCTGTGTGGAATGTATATATACCCCTCCTGTCCTACAATAAATGGCTCCTACTCCTGCTGTATCAATGTACACAAGTTCTTTGTCACCCCCGGCTATTTTGCCCAGCCAGCCGGGCTGTGGCAGATGGTGGCCCGTTACGGGGAGCCCCGGGACACTCAGGGGGTGACGGGGGAAAAAAAAAAAAAAAGCTGCCCGTCCCTAGATAGGACGGGAGCAATCTGCTCGTCCCTAGGCAGATGGGGCGAGAGGAAAAATGGCCATTTTAAGAAGATGGAGAAGATTGATACAGTATGTTTGTGTCTGCTTTTGTCTTGAAATGTTGTATTGTCTTTATGATGAAAATATGGAAGGGGTGAGAAGTAAATTACTAAGGGAAGGAGGCACCCCAGTGGAACCAAGAATAGTTAGGGCATGTGTTGATGGAAGCCCAGGAACTCTAGTCAGAAAGAAGAAAGTTCAGAGGAGGAAGGATTATCAGGAAAAAAGTTGCAGCAAAAGGCTATTACTGAACACTCTTAATTACCGGAGGGTGTGTGAATCCACGTGGCGGCCGCTACATGCAGGAGCCAGTCATGGCACAGCAAGAAGCTTCCAAGCATTGGCAGCCGGCTCTTCCCCTGCGAGAGCCCAAATCCAAGCCTGACCTGGAGGCACAGTCTTGCAGGCTCTTTGAGTCCAGGACACTCTCCCAGGGCCATCTGGGGCTGCCTGGGATGTCCCTGATGTGTGGTTATTTTCAATGCCAATAACTAAACTACAATGGTTCTCCCACACCTGGAAGCTAATGAGTAATGAGCACTATTAAGGCTTATTTCAAATGTAAAAAAACCTTGAGATAATGTACTAAATTGTTCAGAAGGTTGTTTTCTTGGTGGAATGCTACAGGATTTTCTTTAGCCAGCATTGCCGGAATTCTTGGCTTCCTCCCAGTGCCGATGAAAACGAGCATGGAAGAATTTCCAGTGTTGCTGACAACCGGACAAAACTACGGCTGAGAATCGGATGAGACTTCGGAGCTGTTGCTGTTTCTGCTGCTACAGCTTAGGCTAGCTGCCTGCAGAACTTACCTGAACTGTGATTTACCTGAACTGTGAGTTAATCTATTGAGACACTGCTTTACCTGGACTGAGACAACAAACTGTAATCTACAACAAATTGTAACTTGGTATATTTGCTAACGGTGTCATTGCTTGTATGATTTTTCCAAGGGCTTCTTGCATAGAGCCATCAATTGGCTTGGTATTGTGGCATTTTGTTTCCTCCCCTTCTGCTTGTAGCAGATTATTTATGGTGTTTGTGTAAAAACCACTATGGTCGTTATTTAAATTAAACAAAAGGGGGAAATGTTAAGAGTCTATAAACAAGTCTGGATGGCGCCTGGCATTTTGCCAGAGGGAGTGGTTTGTGAAGTAATTCCAGGGAGCCATTAAGTGTGGAGATTCCTTGTTGGTTGACTGCTGTATCAAGTTTATGTTAATTAAGATAAGCTGTGTGGAATGTATCCCTCCTGTCCTACAATAAATGGCTCCTACTCCTGCTGTATCAATGTACACAAGTTCTTTGTCACCCCCGGGCAAAATAGCCAGCCTGCTGCGGCAAGAGAGAGAGAGAGGCAAGGAAGGCCATCAGGGTAGGACCCTAATACAGCAGGGCTGGTGTCATCATGAGAGACAGACCCCAGAGTCTACATGCATGGAGGAAGGCCCTCGGGGTAGGTAGGACCCTGATCCAGCGGGGCTGGTGTCCTCATGAGACAGACTGTTTAAGCCACCTAGGCCATGGTATGTGTTATGCAGCCTGAGCAAGCTGATAGAGTCCCCAAATGAAGTGATAGATTGAATACAATTTCAGTTAAAATCCCAGCTTGCACTGAAGAAATTTCAGTAGATATAAGTTGACTCTCGTTTTTATGGTTCTGGTGATCAAACTGAGGGCTTGCACATTGCTAAGCAAATGCTCTACCTCCACATCCCCCTGAAAAACTGATTATGTTCATTCCCCAGCACAAAAGAAGACAATTCTAAAACTTAAGTGGAAATGTAAAGGTCCTAGAATAGCTACAATTTTGAAAAAGTAAAAAAAAAAAAAAAAAAAAAAACAAACAAAACATGACTCAGGTTACCTGCGAGTGAAATGACAGGCACAACGTGGATGTGTAACCGATGTGATTCTACAATCTGTATACGGGGTAAAAATGGGAGTTCATAACCCACTTGAATCAAATGTATGAAATATGATATGTCAAGAGCTTTGTAATGTTTTGAACAACCAATAAAAAATAAATAAATAAATAAAACAAAACAACAACAAAAAAAGAAATGACAGGCACGAGACTGGGCAGTGTGTGCTGGAGGTAGCACTTGCAAGGACAGACCTTAAAGCCAGCTCAGCCAGAGCACCCAGGCAGTCACCTTTACTGAAGGGAGAGAGAAAAGTCATTTTTAACAAATAACATCGGGGCCACAGAATAAACACAGGGGGCAGGGGCAGGAAATGGTCCACAAGCTCTTCCTCACACCATACCAAGAGCTAACAGAAAAAGTGAAAATGAATCTACATATGAGAATACTATTTTGACTCTGGGATAGGCAGGTCATTCTTAGAACACAGAAAAAGCACTAACCATGAAAACAAATAACCGATCAATTGAACTTGACTAAATTCAGACCCTCCACTGACATTGTCAAGGATTCCTACCAATCAGTAGACAATGCAATGAAAGTGGCCAAAGACCTAAACAGACACATGGGCTCAGCACTGTCACCAAAGGAAAGCAAACGGAAACCTCAGTGAAGTACCAGAACTGCTGCCCGAAAACACCATCACCACCAAATGCTGGCAAAGACATGAGCCACTGGACCCCAGGGCCTGCAGAGGTGGTGGCACAGCACACCACCTGGAGAAGTCTTTGGCAGGAGTAGAGTCAAGCACAACAACCCTGGAACTTGGCAATTCTTCCAGAGAATTACTTTCAAAGGACAAGAACCATGTCTACAAAGACTCGAACACAAATGTTCATAGCAGTTTTATTTCTTGCAGCACTGGGGACTAAACCCAGGAGTAAGGCCAGAGCTCACCCCAGCCCTTCCATCTTGGCAGAAGGGTCTTGCTGTGTTGTCCAGGCTGGCCTACAACCTCCTGAGTGCCTGGGATCACAGGCATGGCCACCAGCCCAGTGCAGCTGGGTCCACCAAGAAGACAATGGATCTGTGTGGTCTGTGCAAACGTGGATTACTTCTGCTGCTCCAGCACATCAAGAAGGACGACTGAAACACATTCGTTGAGGCAACAAGAGGAAAACAGCTCTTCTCACTGAAGGTCTGGTATGCTTTAATCTGTCATCTTAAACCAAGTTTTTAAAAACAGCAGAGTTAGGGCTGGGGCTGGGGCTCAGCGGTAGCGCACTCGCCTAGCACAGGTAAGACCCTGGGTTCGATCCTCAGCACCACATAAAAATAAATTCATTAATTAAGGATATTGTGTCCAACTACAACTAAAGAATAATTATTAAAAAATTATATATTTAGGGGCTGGTGTTGTAGCTCAGTGGTAGAGAGCACTTGCCTCGCATGCATGAGGCCCTGGGTTTGATCCTCAGCACCAGGTTAAAAAAGTAAATAAAAATAAAGATATTGTGTCCATCTACAACTAAAGAAAATTATCTAAAAACAGCACAGTTAGACTATACAACCAGCAGTCTAACCACAAAAGGCTCCCAGCACCCAGCACTGGAGAGCACAGAGCAGGCAGAGCTCCCGTACCACTGCAGGAGGGTGGAAGCCAGCCTGACCCCTCCAGCTTTGTCCAACGTGCATCCAGCAAGTGATGTGGATGCACACTCACAACTGAGATACTACCAAAATGGGCCACTGTGCTCGCTCCTGCAATGGCCCACAACTTAGCGGCAGATGAAGACTTGCTATACGTGGATGACCCACCCAGGCATGAGGCTGAGCTCACGGGCCCACGCTGTGTAGTTCCATTCTCATGGCGCTCAAGAAACAGCTGAGCTACTGATTGGCAATGGTCACCAAAGTGTTGACTGGGAAAGGACACAGCACCAGTGGGAAGCTGGATTGGTCCAGGGGCTATATGTGGGATGTGTGCTCTCTGCCGTGCTGTCCATCGGTAAGAAAGAGACAGGAGTAGACAGGTGGTGAGCAGGAGGCAAGGCCTGGAAGGCCCTGCTCTGGAGAGCACACAGTGCTCAGGAGTGCGGGGCACAGGGAACATCACGTGAAGTTCTGCTGCCACTTGTTGGCCGGACTTGTGGGTGGAGCAGGCAGGGGCTACAACACGGTGTAGTGTGCTGATTGGCACCACCTGGCCTGCACAGGTCACAGGGAGACCCCAAAGCTGAGCCCTGGGTGGCCATAGAGAGTAGAGGTCAGCAATGGGCACCACAGGCATCAACTTCCACAAAGGCCTGAACTGGAGCGGGCACAGGAGGAGGCGTATGTGAGGACGCATGGCAGGACAGGAGTACAGGGGCTGAGGCAGCCATCAGAGATCACGTGCCAAGCAGGACTGGCCGCAGAGCAGGGCAGGGGCACTGCAGAGCAGCTATGAGGGTTAGGGCAGCTGACCACAGCTCAGAACCTCAGACTCTGGCCACAACCAAGAGCAGCCCCAAAGACTCTGGGAACCAGGGCCACAGGCGACAGGAGCTGCTCTCAGAACCCAAGCTGGCTGTCCAAGTAGCCTGCACCCCTGGCCCAGGAGGGCAATGATCAGGCCAAGAGTGAGATGTGACCTCAGGATTCCAAGCTGAGGCCTCCAACTTCAGGGCAGCCCTTCCCATTAGTGGTGGGTTCTGCAAGGCGCGAAGATTGTTGTGCTCTTCTTGAAACCCCTGTCTTGATGTGCTGGGCCCCCTTTGCTGCAGTGACAGCAGCCATAACCCCAGCCCCAATGAGTGAGCCAGGGAGGGCAGAGCACTCCCCTGGGCTCAGAAACTCCTCAGAGTGAGAAATAGAAAGCCATTTTATTAACACGCTTTACATTTACAGCTTATTAGCTAATCAACATCAACATGCAAAAATAAGCGCTAGATACAAACCTCTACCACAGGTTTCTGTGTGGACTACAATGGTTCGTGTGTTCTGAAAACCCATCAGTACTTGCTTCAGCTGAACTATCCGCTCCTGTAACGAATAGCATGCAGACTCCAGGGCTACAGAACTATCCAGCAAGGCCTCTGCAGAAACTCGATCCAGTGGATTTCCACGTGAATACATTCTCGAAGCAGGAAGTAAGGCGGTGCACGGAGGACCGGGGCTGAGCCTAAGCTCGCACGCAGGACGTGGCCCCAGGGCCTGCAAGGTGCTCTGGTGGCAGCTCTAGTGACATCAGGAAGGGCCCTCGTGCACCGCATGGCAAGTCACCGCAGGCCGCCCACGTGCCAGCACCTCACCCAGGCCATGGCTAACATGTGTTGAAGGACCAGCCTGTTCCTTACGCTCCCCAGGACTCTTCAGCAAAAAGAGGAAGCTGAGAAACTTGGGAGAGAAGGATTCCTACCTGTGAGCTGTCCTAAAGCTCTTCGGGGTTGAGGTCAGGCTGTAGAGTTTCCTTTGAGAGGTGCAAGTACTTTGCAGAAGCATCGAATAGTCGACTTACGTTATAAAATCCTACCCATCAAACGCTGTTTTCAAGTACGAACTCATTAAATCTCACTTCCTCACTTCCTAAGAGTATTTATCGTTGCTCACTGATCTTTGGTCGCAAGAAACAGAAATGCGGTGGCAGGCTAGGGCCAAGGATGGGGAGGGCATGCCCTGCCCACACAGCCCCAGCCAAGGCGTGCACCTGGCGACACGGGGCCTACATGATGTACACTTTCTCGGCTTGTGAGAAGTGGAAGACTTCTTTGGTTCTTGGGCAAACAACTTTATCATCTTGACGGATAGAAAGCAGAGACTGAAAAATAAGATCAGGAACATATTAAGAAGATGCACTCTAAATTAGGTTTCCATTAAAAACCCACACAGCACACCATCAGAGCATGCAGTTCAGCCTGCAGCATCATCTCCTGAGACACATTGACACTGCCAGGGAACCCCAGCAGCTCAACAGGCAGCCAGCACAGCCCAGCCCAGCCCAGCCCAGCCCAGCCCAGCCCAGCCCAACGCCCTGCCCCACAGCTCACATTGTAGCCGTAGACATAGCCATTGGGCAGCATCATAGGTGGGTTGTTCTCGTTCATGACATCGCCAGAGATTTTGCAGACCAGGCGTGAGTTGGCACAGTGTGCCATGGGCAGGGGCTGCGCCAACTTGTTGAGGGACCGGCTGCACACGGGGCAGTCGGGGCTCTTCGAGCTGCCATCCTCCTTGTAGCACTGCCTGTGCACGGTGTTAAGGAAGGGCTGGGCTTCACTGGCTCAAGCAGTGAGAAGGTACCCCTGGCCCTCACTGCTCTGAGCTCAGGGCACTTGCCTGGCCAGTCAGTCACCACACTGGGAACAAATGAGGGCAAAGCCGCCACATAGTAGAGAGGCCTGACCTGAGACTGGAAACCAGTGCGCCTCCCCCAGGCCTCTC